AGTCAGGTTTAAAATAGTTAAGAAATTTATTTCTACGCAATTTAAACAAGACTACCTTTAACACTCTGTGTACTGATGGACCAAGGTGGAGTGAGACGTGAGATGATTGATGGTGTGTGTGTGTGTGTGTGTGTAATGTTATTATCAGAACCAGCGGATCCGGAGAAGCATTTAGTTCTGAGTGAGAGTGAATGTTTCGCTCTAAACTTAAGTAGGAGATTTATAACAAACATGAAAGACCATGGTTCTCGACCAGAAAAGGGTGGCTTGCCAACTTCGGGTCGGGGGAGAGGTCCTACATCAAGTGGAGGAGTTTAAGTATCTTGGGGTCTTGTTCACGAGTGAGGGTAGGAGGGATCGGGAGATCGACAGGCGGATTGGTTCAGCATCTGCAGTGATGTGGACGCTGAGCCGATCTGTCGTGGTGAAGAGGGAGCTGAGCCAGAAAGCCAGGCTCTCGATTTACCGGTTGATCTACGTCCCAATCCTCACCTATGGTCATGAGCTTTGGGTAATGACCAAAAGAACGAGATTGCGGATACAAGCAGCCGAAATGAGTTTCCTCTGTAGGGTGGCCGGGCTCAGCCTTAGAGATAGGGTGAGGAGCTCGGATATTCGGGAGGGACTCGGAGTAGAACTGCTGCTCCTCCTGATCGAAAGGAGCCAGTTGAGGTGGTTTGGGCATCTGGTCAGGATGCCTCCTGGACGCCTCTCCGGGGAGGTGTTTCAGGCATGTCCTGCCGGCAGGAGGCTCCCGGGTCGACCCAGGACACGTTGGAGAGGTTACATCTCCAATCTGGTCCGGGAACACCTTGGGGTCCTGCCAGAGGAGCTGTTGGAGAAGGCCAGGGAGAGGACGGTCTGGAGCTCCCTAGTTGGGATGCTGCCCCCGCGACCCGGACCCGGATAAGCGGAGGAAGACAAAGACAGGAAACACCATCTTTCGGTCTACATACCCAGGGGAAGCCTCCGTTAGATCCAGAATGTTGAGGTCCTTGTGGACCCTCCTTGGAACCAAAGCCGGTAGAAAAGCAGCAGTGCCAACCAAACTAGTCTTGGAATGCTTCCAGGTCACGACAGGTTCATTGGCATCAGCGAGACCCTGAAGGGGTTGTGAGGTTCAGCTTTTATTCTGAAGGAACCGTTGCGGTCAGGTATAACTTGCAACAGATTTTATCCAGCTTGTCGAGGTCTTTCTGCTGAAGAGGAAGTCCGGATGGCTGTCCGAGACTTCTCTAGAACGCTTTGAACTAAAGACAAGGTGGTGTGGAATAGTTTTATAACTGTCATATTTTGGTTTACTGGCGAATCAGATTTTGACATGCAAAAGAGGGTTTATACAAACACCACAGAAAACCATGCCTCGCGCCAGAAACTAAGGTTCTGATTGGATCAGACAAAAGGAAATGTGTCGTGTGACTTTAGCATTACATGTCCTCAGTGTCTAGTGCAAATGTCCAGGATTATAATTACTTGTAAAATACTATTGATCACAGGATTATAATATCAAGTAATAACATTGTCATTTCACAGATTGATTGAACATTCGGCTCACATTATTATTGGCAATAACAAACGTTGTGTGAGTATGTATTTATCAAAAGAGTTCTCCGTCTTCGTCTTGAGCTGTAACAGAGGTGAAGCAGTTCAGATGAGCAGAGTGCATGAAAGACCTTGGCCACTATCTCATGTAGATTAGCCTGTCAGAGACTTTATATCTCTGCTCGAGCAGATGCAGCAGATCATAACCTTTAGATCAAAAGCAGGGCATTCATGATGCTACACAGGAGAAATCTGAGGCAAATCACCGGAGCATGGCAGCAACCACACCTGTTTTAAGTGTGTCTTTGTCTGGTGTTGGCTTTGTCCACATGTGGTTGTGTCTGTTTTGGCTTCATCTCCATGCAATAACAGGTATACTTCATCATCGTAGTGTCACCTACACATTAGAGTCCTGCTCGGGACTAGTTTTATCATCCTGCTCCTGCTGAATTTCTGTTAGCACCTGCTCACATAATACCTGAGTACAAACCACAGACATAATCCTGGACAACTGCCAATTGGTTTGAGCTCCAGACAGCTGAAGAAACTTTATAACAGCTTTTTAACTGCGATAGCAATGAAGAAGAAGATGTTTCAGAAACAGAGGATCTTTCAGAGGTCAAGGACAGTGTTACTGGTGATCCAGACTGCCATCGCTACAAATCCAAGGAATGCAGCAATCATCTACAGAGGGGACATGGACATCTAAATATGGTAAAATAAAATGGTCAGCATCACCACCACGAAATCAAGGCAGACTGTCATCTTCTAATGTCATCAAAATGACTCCTGGTCCTACAAGATTTGCTGGCACACGAGTTGATGATATCCAATCAGCATTTCATCTCTTCATATCCCCTCCAATAGAGAAGCTTATACAGGACAGGACTAACTTGGAGGGGAGGCGTGCATTTCAAGTGTAATGGAAGACACTGGACCAGACTGACTGGCATGCTTATATTAGAATTCTGGCATTAGCTGGAGTATACAGGTCAAAGAGAGAAGCAACTGCAAGTCTATGGAATGAAGAGAACGGAAGGCCGGTCTTTCGAGCAGCAGTGTCTCTTGAGACATTTCACAAGATATCTTGTGTGTTCCGATTTGACAAGTGTGAAACCCGAGTCAGTCAACGTGAATGAGACAAACTTGCTGCAGATGTGTGGGATAAATGGGTGGAAATTCTACCTTTGTTGTACAACCCTGGTCCCTGCGTCACTGTAGATGAGTGCCTTGTTCCATTCAGGGGTCGCTGTCCTTTCCAACAGTATATGCCCAACAAGCCAGCCAAGTATGGCATCAAAATATGGGCAGCTTGTGATGCAAAATCTAGCTATGTATGGAATATGCAGGTCTATACTGGAGAAGACAAGAGTAGACAATCTTGACAAAGTCATAGCACCATACAGCTGCCAGCGCAAGACAGCTCGTTGGCCTTTGGTGATTTTCTACAACATTGTGGATGTGTCAGCTTACAATGCCAATGTCCTGTGAACTGAAATGAACCAAATATTGGAATGCCGGTACATTGTGCAATGTCGGCTTTTCCTCGAAGAACTGGGAAAAAGTCTTGTGACTCCCGAGATCCTGAGGCGAGCCAGAACAACTCCTTCCCCAGCAACAGCAGCTGTCATTAAAAAGGTCAAGTTTGCACCATCCAACAAATCTACAGTGGATCCCGTGGACACAGGTGCGAAGAAACAGAATTAAGGCTAGGCCTGTCCCTCACGAGAAGACAATGTTTGTGAGAAGTGCAAGAAGTACATCTGCAGAAAGTACACAGTTACACTCTGTTCCAGGCACGTGGGGGGGGGGGGGGGGGGTTCAGGGTGCTTGAGCATCTGCCCTTTCAAAGGTCTGCACAGTCCTGCTCTGTCCATCATGTGGAAAACACTGGAAATGCTGAACATTGAAAGTCTGAGAAAAGGAAAAGAAAAGAATTGTGTTCGTAAAGAAGGAAAAACGCACCAAGTAGTTTTTACAAATAGTTCTGGATATTCAGACTGTATTGTATGTCTGCATTTTAAATGTTTTTCTAATAGAAAATAAAGTTGCTGTTTTTTATTGCAGTTTTTTGACAGTTCTGATTGGAATCAAAGGATCACAGGCACTTTTCATTATATATTTATAATTGATTTAAAATAATTAAAATTCCATCTGGAATAGAATAGAATAGAATAGAATAGAATAGAATAGACTACTGATCCCACAGTGGGGAAATCCATTTGTTACAGCAGCACCAACACTTAAGAGAATAATTAGAAGAAAAAACAAAAACAAAGGTACAAGTATACACACATAGGTAGTAGTCTAGTATTGTAACCTTTGATCCCTAAAAGCCACGAGAGGAAGCCCATATCATATCTTTCACAATATTACCAGTCCTGAGAAAAATCTGTTGAGCTAAATTCATGATGTAATTGTATCTACTGAAGATTACAGTCACGTGGGTCATGCACCGTGGAGGTATTAGTTATTAGGGCAAACATGGCTGGAATCTAACAGTACTGATTCATATCAGCGACTATACTGACTTAAACTGTCTGGTTGCTCTTTCATTTAGGGGCTACTGTCGCCTTAACCCACGCCTTACAAACACGTAACTTTTTCAACAGAATGGCTCGTGATGGAGCATTTCCTAGCATAAAAAAGCGACAACGACTGGAACCAGAACAACCTCTCCCACCCACTGAACTCACCTTCAAAATAAAACGTTAACCTTAATGTTAACTATTCAAGCCTTTACAACATGTTGGAGGTAATTTGGCCATTCTGGCTCTCTGTAGATGTTTCCTGATTGCACGAGGGAGGGGTTTTCCCACCTCTCCGCAAAAGCAGGATGATAAACAGAACTGTGTCGGGACAATAGCCATGGTGAAAAGCTAGCTGAAACATGAACGAACGTCTCCAACAACTGAAATACCTGGAAGCCAAATGCAAAGTTTAGGGCTGAACATTCACCCAGAGGTTTTCTGATTGAGCAGACTTGTGAGAATACATGTAATGACCACTTAGAACGGAGCACGCTAGCATAGCGGTTAATCGCTAGCATATTATCTGGCCCAGTTATATCGATATATATGTTATATAGATATTTAAAAAATATTGATATACTGCTCAGCCCTACATTAATCATTTACTGATGAGTTTCTAGAACCTGGACACATACACACACACTCACTCACCCACATGGGTTTATTTAAACCAGATATAAGTTGGACAGACAGAATTATTCAAATCTCATTTCTCTGTTATTTTCCATCTCTCACCTATATTTGCATCTTCACCTTGCCTCATGCACACTTCCTGTCTCATTTACTGTCTTCCTGCATATGTCCCATCTGCCCATCATGTCCTGCAGCTGCCGCTCCTGTCTGTGTTTTGGCTTTTGGACCGTTTGCATCTTCTGTCTCCTGTTCTGTCCCTTCTCATGTCCTTCTCTGTCTCTGTCTGTCTCTCAGATCACGGTGAGTGTGGCTCAGGGCCGAGTGCGGAGCCCCTCCCCTCAGCCTCGCTATAAAAGCTGTGCCTACACCCAGGCTGCATATGTCAAGTCGCCAGAGCAAAAGAGGAGGCGTTTTACTGATCAGGTCCGTGTCTCACAGCGCTAACACCTCAGCACGTTTCTGTTGCTTTGTGTCTTTCTACTTTTCTTCCTCTGACATTAAAAAAGTCCTCAAGATCGAGTCCAGCAGCAATATTTCACCTTGTGGAGTTTTGGGTGAACGTGCTGATGTTTCTCTTTGTCTATAAACATGTCAGACCTGCATGAACCTTCCTGCAGAAGCACTGAAGGACTTGTTAAGGTGGAAATTTTAATTGTGCTCTTCAGCCTGTCACCAGTCCTATTCATGTATTCGTTTAAGGCAACAAACAAGGTAAAGGCATAGAGAGGTGGTAATGGACTAAAATATGTTTGAGTTGTTGACCTTCCAGTCAGACGGCTTCAGCTGGTAAAATAATCCATTAATTATGATTTGATATCAAATGTGTGGCTGCCATCAACCTGCCAGGGGACTGGAGATGAGAATTGGCTCCGGCCTACATCTAACGAGTTTACTACATATAAAACTACCAATATGCAGTGTGCCTTTACACAAAACTACAATTTCAGTACCTATATTAAAATATTAGAAATACAAAGTACAAGTCTGTCTCCAAATTAATAAGATGTGGTTCAGAGTCTCCAAAAGCTACACAGCTCATGCCCACCTTTGTTTATCTTATTATGGAGGACATCGTGGACTTTCCCGTGCTATTAAACGCTGCCAACGGGTTTGGGGATTTTCGCATCCCTGAGAAGCTCTTCAGATTTATATGTGAACACTACGCCGCCTGTACCAGACCAAACTAATGCCATCCAGCCCCACCAGACCCCGACCGTGCCCACGCTGATGTGTAAGCAGCTATGAAATCAGCCCTGGTCTATCAATGGGACCATGTTATGTAAAAACTCCAATCTTCCTAGGGTTATTCCAGGGCATTGCTGAGTTGGTGTTTAGTGTTCCTCAGAGAACCATGAATGTGTTTCACTGGACTTTGTTGGTTCAGCTCCCTCCACACCATTGATTAAACATTGTGTAGAATCCTTATTAAAACTCTACCTAAGAAAATTTTACACACACAAACTATATTCCTAACCTATACGATCACACCCTCCTGCATCTAATCAATAGGACTCCCTCACAATAGAGGCTAAGCATCCACCAGGAAATAGTTTCTGGTGGATGTAGTTTCTGCTCGTTAAGCAACAACAGACAGTTACAGCGTATAAACATGACCCTCCCATATTTCATTCAGAATTGACAAAGTTTTTTGGATGAGAAGCAAAATGTCTTCAAGAAACCAATGAAGTCCAGTTGCCTTCATTCAAACCTCCTTTGGATTACCATGACCTGGATGGCTGAGAACCTTCTCCAGCCTCTGCTTATGCCCAGCTGCAGCTTTGTAAGTCCACCTGTCCTAGAAATGTGCTCAGGTGTTTCTGGATTACATCCCGCCTCCTACACTCCCACTTTCTGCCATAAATGGTCAATTCAAAGGACCTTATGAGTAATTTGCATCTGGCAGACGGTGACATTTCTGGAGTAACCATGACAACTGAGAGTTCCAGAGGATGCTGTTTCAGTGGGACTGAAATGGGAGGTACAGGAATGGAAAAGGGTTTTATTATCTTAGCATTGTAGCAATGATGAGCTGTGAGAGCGACCGAGATCTTAGATGGACAGTAAGAAGGCTGCTAATGTCTCCATCAGCTGTAACTTTTTCTCTTCATGGTTGTTGTTTTTTGTTTGTTTGACCTGATCTTTCATTGCTTTTCTCACTGATGTCCTATTCTCTCTTCCTGTTTTCATCTCACACCCATTAGTTCCTGAGTCCGAGTCAGGAGGAGCTTCAGCGAGGCCTCAGTCCTCTACCTCCAGGTTCCATCAGCCTGGAAAGCTACCAGGCTTCACTGGAAGAGGTACAGCATTGCTACAAGTTTATCTAAAATACTGCAACACTCAGATCAGGACAGCACGTCTTGTTTGTTGGTCTTTATGTCATGAAGAGTCAGAATCTCACAGGAGGCCAACTTTTGGGACCAAACTGCTGTTACCATGTGCCCAAACAGGATTTTGAGTATCAGTACTTGGTTGAACTACAATATTCTACACAGATATATATTTTACATTTATTGCAAGTTCACGCTAAAATCTGAATGTCCCAAAAAGCTCCATCTGAGACTCTGCATGTGTTAGTTAGAAGATTAAAGGTCAACGCCAATGACAGGATCACTAGAAAGAGACTTTTATGGAGAGTTACTGAAGAAATCCTCTGATCTCTGACAGGATCATTGAACCACAGCTCAGGTTGGTAAAGTTTCATCCAAAAGAACCACATTGTCCTTCAGGAGAACGCATCACACATATTTACTCATTATGCAAACCTTTATATTTGGGAGAAACCAATCAGCTGATCAATAATGTCAGCACAGTGGTGGGGGGTTGATGGTTTGGGTTCCTTACAGTCACCGTGTCCATGATGAACTCTTCTGTAGATCAAAGTATTATCAATTGGTATTTAACTCGATAACAAAGTGGGATTGGGGTGTAGTGCTGAGCTGGCTGGCAAGCTATCTACAGCAGAGGAGACAGTTTGTGAAGTTTGGAGAATGTTCATCTTCATGGCTGGACATTGTTTGCGGAGTACCACAGGGGTCTGTGTTGGGTCCAAAATTATTTTTGTTATATATTAATGATTTGAGTAATGTAACAAATACACTGACATTTGTTTTGTTTGCAGATGATACCACTATTTTCTGTACAGGAGATAATATTAGTGACTTAGAAAGGATGGTCCAAATTGAAATGTGCGCTATTAAAGAGTAGTTTATTGAAAATACGCTTACATTAAATATAGCAAAAACAAAATGTATGCTGGTTGGTATGGCTAATAAAACTTATGTTAAGCTGCAATTAGATGGATGTGAAATTGACCAAGTAACAGAACATACGTTCCTTGGAATAATAATAGATAATAAATTAAGTTGGAAACCACAAATTAAACATGTATATAATAAGGTTGTGAGAAGAATCTACATTATGAATAAAACTCGACAGTACTTGGATTATAAATCACTCCATGTCCTTTATTATTCATTGATTTATCCTATCTTATTCACTGTGTAGAGGTATGGGGTAACACTTATAAAACATCACTTGTACCTTTGTCTATCATAAAGAAAAGATAGCATAGTATAGTATAACATAGTATAGTATTAGTATAGTATAGTGTAGTACAGTATAGTATAGTATAGTATAGCCTTGTATAGCATAGCATAGCATGGCATAGTACAGTATAGTGTAGTATAGTATAGTATTGTTTTGTATTGTATAGTATAGCATAGCCTTGTATAGCATAGTATAGTATAGTATGGTATAGTATAGTATAGTATAGTGTAGTGTAGTATAGTATAGTTGCTGAGTATAGTGTAGTATAGTATAGTATAGTATAGTTGCTGAGTATTGTGTAGAATAGTATAGTGGAGTCAGGTTGAGTAGAGTTGCTGTGTGATTAAATAGGGGAAAAGGCCCATTATTAAACAAGGTTTTGCCTTTAAAAGGTACTGACATGGCTGCTGTCGGCTGAGGATGGTCTCCAGGCCCAGCCTCCAATCTCCAACAATGTGGAGGATGTGAAGGAACAGTTCCATACACATGAGGTAAGAGCCAGAGGAGTGAATCCCTGCTAGAATGGAGATTTTTATGATTGAATATAATTGTTCTTGTATTGTATTTCATTATTCTTCACGTGTTGTGGAAACAAATCCTGGTCTAGAAGACAGCAAAGCTGAAATAATGGCTGACCCAAATTAATACATCAATACATTTAATGCACTGCAATGGACAAACATGCTAACATTAGAGATGTATGCTACTAGTTCTATGAACTTGTGCGATCATTTGGGGTTTGTTTCCACTGTTATGCTGATGACCTACAACTACACATCCCTATTACTGGACAGTAACAATCTGCAGCCTTGTCTAATAGCTGTGAAACACTGGCTATCAGATAAGTTCTTGTTCTTAAATATGAACAAAGCAGACATAATGTGTGTCTGTCCTAAAACACACAGGCCATCAGAGTAAAGGTTGCAGACTGTATTTTATACAAAGTGACAGACTAAAAAATCTAGGAGTTTGGTTTGACCCAACCTTGTCATTCGACCTTCATTTGAAATAAACTCTCAAAACTGCTTTCTTTCACCTGGGAAGAATAGCAAATACAAGGTAGATTTTATCAGATGATGATGCAGGAGTCCTGGTACACGCCTTTGTTTCATCAAGGATTGACTACTGTACCACCCTTCTGTCTGGTTTGCCCCTAAAGAGCTTCCGGTGTCAACAACTCGTGCAGAATGCAACTGCACGTATCCTAGCAGGAAAAAGTGACCACGTTACACCTGTCCTGAAGTCACACTGGTGGCCGTGTCCTGCTAGAGCAGATTTTAAGGTCTTACTGTTGACCTACAAGGCCCTCCACAATTTGGCTCCACCTTACATGACTGACCTACTAGACCCATTTGTTCCATCTAGGGCATTACGATCACACAGCACGGGCCTTTTGTGCATTCCAAAAATAAAGCAGATGACTTTGGGTAGGCATGCATTTGCTTTTCATGCTTCATCACTCTGGAATGATCTGTCACAGGATGTCAGACAAGCATTCTCTGTGGAAGTGCCATCCATTCATTTTCAGCCGCTTATCCGGGTCGGGTCGTGGGGGCAGTAGTCTTAGCAGGGAGGCCCAGACTTCCCTTCCCCCAGCCACCTGGGCCAGCTCCTCTGGGGGAATGCCAAGGTGTTCCTTGGCCAGCTGTGAGACATAGACCCTCCAGCGTGTCCTGAGTTTTCCTTTAAGTCTTCACCCAATTGGACGTGCCTGGAAAACCTCACTGGGGAGGCATCCGAACTAGATGCCTGAGCCACCTCAACTGGCTCCTCTTGATGTGGAGGATGTATGTATGTATGGATGGATGGGTGGGTGGCTGGGTGGATGGATGGATGGATGGATGGGTGGATGGACGGACGGGCGGGCGGGTGGGCGGATGGATTGGTGGGTGGCTGGGTGGATGGATGGGATGATGGATGTATAAATGGATGGATGGATGGATGGATGGACGGATGGATGGACGGATGGATGGATGGGTGGTTGGGTGGATGGATGGATGGATGGAGTGGATGGATGGATGGATGGATGGATGGACGGATAGATGGACGGACGGGCGGGCGGATGGATGGATTGGTGGTTGGCTAGGTGGATGGATGGGATGATGGATTTATAAATAGATGGATGGATGGATGGATGGATGGATGGACGGATGGGTGGATGGATGGGTGGTTAAATGGATGAATGGATGGGTGGATGGATTGGTGGATGGACGGATAAATGTATGGGTGGGTGGATGGATAAATGGATGGATGGGTGGATGGACGGGTGGATGGATGGATAAATGGATGGGTGGATGGATGGCTCCTCTCGAGAGGAGCCAGTTGAGGTGGCTCGGGCATCTGGTCAGGATGCTTCCTGGACTTCTCCCTGGTGAGGTTTTCCAGACACGTCCAACTGAGAGGAGGTCTAAAGGAAGACCCAGGACATGTTGGAGGGACTATGTCTCTCAGCTGGCCAGGGAACGCCTTGGGATCCCACGGGAGGAGCTGGCCCAAGTGGCTGGGGAGAGGGAAGTCTGGGTCTCTCGTCTTAGGCTGCTGCCCCCGCGACCCGACTCCGGAAAAGCGGATGAAAATGGATGGTTGGATGGATGGATGGATGGATCGGCTAGCACACTGCTGCTAACCACTTAAACATTATTCCCCTCCTGATAATAACATTTTATTCTCTTTGACATTGAATGTGCTACTACTAGTTTACCCCTTTAAGTATAGATTCACTAGAATAAATACAATAAAGTTTATCTCTCACCAAATAGAATATTTACTAAGAAATCACAACGTAACCATAGAAACACTACTACTACCACTACTACTTGGTGTGTGTGTGTGTGTGTGTGTGTGTGTGTGTGTGTGTGTGTGTGTGTGTGTGTGTGTGTGTATGTGTTTGTGTGTGTGTGTGTGTGTGTGTGTGTGTGTGTGTGTGTGTGTGTGTGTGTGTGTGTGTGTGTGTGTGTGTGTGTGTGTGTGTGTGTGTGTGTGTGTGTGTGTCTGCTCTGTCTTCTCCATCCCCAGTGAGTCATGGTGGATGACTGCTTATACTGAGCCAGGATCCTCTGGAGGTTTCTTCCTGTTAAAAGGGAGTTTTCCTCTCCACTGTCACTGCATGCTTGCTTAGTATGAGGATTGCTGTAAAGACTCTGACACTAGTCAGTGACTTGATGCAACTGGCCTGACCTGTATTGCTTACTGTGTGAAGGTCCTTGAGACAACTGGTCCTGATTTGGTGCTTTATAAGTAAACTTGAATTGAATTGTATTGAATTGAATTGGATGGATGGATGGATGGATGGATGGATGGATGGATGGATGGATGGATGGACAGATGGACAGATGGATGGATGGATGGATGGATGGATGGATGGATGGATGGATGGATGGACAGATGGATGAATGAAAGGACAAACTGATGGATGGATGGATGGTCATCCTAGAGTAGTAGCTGCAGGTTCTCCTCCTCAGACAGCAGGTTAAGCTTAATGGAAGTATGACTAATTGTTCCTCGTCTTTCCGTCCGTTGCCTCCTAGGGCTACATGGTGGAGCTGACCACTCACCAGGGCAACGTAGGCCGTGTCCTCAGAGCTGGCGCTGCTCTGCTGGCAGAAGGAAAACTGAGTGAGGAGGAGGACTCAGAGGTCAGGGAGCAGATGAACCTCCTGAACTCCCGCTGGGAGCACCTGAGAGTGGCGAGTATGGAGAGACAGAGCAGGTACACAATCATCTCTACATCTGACTACACTGCACAAGCACAGGAAGTACAAATAAAACAGGTTATTGGCTGTGTCCAAATTCAGAGGCTCTGTCCTTTGAAGGACTCAAATCAAATCAAACTTTATTTATATAGCACTTTTCATGCATAGGATGCAACACAAAGTGCTTAACAGATTAAAACGACCCATATAACCCACATTCCCTCCCTTTCCCACACTTAAAACAATTGTGACAGTTTCACCCCCAGTCCACAAACTATTCCCAGGCGCACACACACACACACACACACACACACACACACACACACACACACACACACACACACATACATACACACACACACACACACACACACACACACACACACACACACACACACACACACGCACGCATGCACGCACGCACGCACACACACACTCGTCCACAAAATACATTGAAATTCCATCAAGGGAGCCATTTGCCTCGACACCTCTGATGGTGCCGCCATGAAGGATATGCCAGACCCAGAGATGGGAATTGTGGCATCAACAAGTCAACTTTGTGTCGTTTTTGTTCTGCTCAGCAACTGAACCAAGTTCATTCACTGTGCTGATTGAAATCACCTGGTTTTGTTGCTGAGCAGAACAAAAACACGACACAGAGATGACTTGTTGATGCAACAATTCCTATCTCTGGCCAGACCCCTCCTCTAAATATGAACAGCAGTCATTACATCACTGTGACATAAGCAGCCTCCAAATGCAGCCTTTGAAGGATCTAGCCCCAGAGTTTGGATGTAGCCATAGACCTAACTACTAAGGGGGCTTTAATCGGTTGTTTTGCTGCCGATCACTGTTACCAATCACATGGATTAGCCATACATTTAGCATGAAGTTATGAGTCAAGTCAAGTCAAGTTTATTTATAGAGCAGTTTAAATACAACACTGTTGGCCAAAGTGCTGAAAACATTAAACCTAAGTTAATTTAAAATTACAACAATAAAAGAAAATAAAAACTCATAAAATCTAAATCAGGAGTAGATTAAAAAACAGCTAAAAGTTAGTAGATCAAGTTGACTCGGCAACAAAGTAAAAGCGTGCACGACTAAAACCAGAGACAGAAAGTCATAAAACCAGGACTAAAATGCCCTCAGAGAGTATTAAAAGCAATAGAGTAAAAATGCATATTTTAAAAACCCCAAATGATGATGCCGTCCTAATGCAGACGGGCAGAAGATTCCAAAAAGTTGGAGATGCTACAGAAAATGCTCTACAACCTGAGCATGAGTGCTACAGATTACAGGCTGGGAATAACGGAACAGTAATGTCACCTAAAATGGCCAGGATTAATTTAGACAAAAACATGTTTTTATTTTTGAAAGAGCTCTATCAGTTTGTTTGCTTCTGACCACAACTTCTAAGCCTTCTGCTCACAAGTTATCTTGGAAGAGAGGTAAAACATCAAGATACCCAGAAAGGTCCAGCTGATTTTCGTTAAATCTCCAGAGATTATCACATCCAAGATGGCTGGCAATCTACACCAAGGAGCTGAAGCACAAACCATGGAAAAGTAATTAGCCAAAAACATGAATAAATTGTTAATTTGTGTGTGTTCATTTAGTTTGTGTTCAGTTAGTGTGTGTTCATGATGTGTGTGTTCAGTTAGTGTGTGTTCATGATGTGTGTGTTCATTATGTGTGTTCAGTTAGTGTGTTCATGATGTGTGTGTTCATTATGTGTGTTCAGTTAGTGTGTTCATGATGTGTGTGTTCACTTGTGTGTTCATGATGTGTGTGTTCAGTTAGTGTGTGTTCATTATGTGTGTTCAGTTAGTGTGTTCATGATGTGTGTGTTCACTTAGTGTGTTCATGATGTGTGTGTTCAGTTAGTGTGTGTTCATGATGTGTGTGTTCATTATGTGTGTGTTCATTATGTGTGTTCAGTTAGTGTGTGTTCATGATGTGTGTGTTCATGATGTGTGTGTTCATTATGTGTGTTCAGTTAGTGTGTGTTCATGATGTGTGTGTTCATGATGTGTGTGTTCATTATGTGTGTTCAGTTAGTGTGTTCATGATGTGTGTGTTCACTTGTGTGTTCATGATGTGTGTGTTCAGTTAGTGTGTGTTCATTATGTGTGTTCAGTTAGTGTGTTCATGATGTGTGTGTTCACTTAGTGTGTTCATGATGTGTGTGTTCAGTTAGTGTGTGTTCATGATGTGTGTGTTCATTATGTGTGTGTTCATGATGTGTGTGTTCAGTGTGTGTTCCTGATGTGTGTGTTCAGTTAGTGTGTGTTCATGATGTGTGTGTTCAGTTGGTGTGTGTTCTTGATGCGTGTGTTCAGTTAGTGTGTTCATGATGTGTGTGTTCAGTTAGTGTGTGTTCATGATGTGTGTGTTCAGTTAGTGTGTGTTCATGATGTGTGTGTTCATTTAGTGTGTGTTCATTATGTGTGTGTTTAGTTAGTGTGTGTTCAGTTAGTGTGTGTTCATGATGTCTGTGTTCAGTTAGTGTGTGTTCATGATGTGTGTGTTCAGTTAGTCTTTGTTCATTAGTGTGTGTTCATGATTTGTGTTCAGTTAGTGTGTGTTCATGATGTGTGTGTTCATTATGTGTATGTTCAGTTAATGTGAGTTCAGTTAGTGTGTGTTCATTATGTGTGTGTTCATTTAGTGTGTGTTCATGATGTGTGTGCTTATTATGTGTGTGTTCATGATGTGTGTGTTCAGTTAGTGTGTGTTCATTATGTGTGTTTTCAGTTAGTGTGTGTTCATTATGTGTGTGTTCAGTTAGTGTGTGTTCAGTTAGTGTTTGTTCATTATGTGTGTGTTCCTGATGTGTGTGTTCAGTTAGTGTGTGTTCATGATGTGTGTGTTCAGTTAGTGTGTGTTCAGTTAGTGCGTGTTCATAATGTGTGTGTTCAGTTAGCGTGTGTTCATGATGTTGTAATAGCAGAACGTTTATTGAAAATTGTCTCAGTGCTCCAGGTGGCTAGTGTTTCCCTCTGAGGTTAGTGCTAAGATGGGTGAGTCCATGAATGTTAGTGACAGTGTGACGTAGATCTGTCAGGCTTTTCTAGAGTTTCACCGTCTGTTTTCTATCAGAAGCTAATGCAGGAGATAGGTGTAGGAGACTATTTTCATGTTCAGCTTGCGTGAAACACTCAGAGTGACCCGTTAGAATCAGAAATAGTCATTAAAAAGTGTTTTTAGTGAACTACACCTTTAAATGAGTCAAAATCCTACAGTTCTGTGATGTGTCTGGTCTCACATGGAGCATCTCAGCAGCTTCATTCTGATGGTTTCAGATCCTTGAGCCATTTCAGGGCGCTGTCATTTTAAGGAAACAAGCTGGGCTGGCCACGCCCACCCACTCCTGATTAATTTCTGTGGGACAAAGAGCTCAAATAAGTGGGAGGGGCTTGGCGTAGAGCCCGTGTTCCTGCAATGCCTACAGCTGAGTGGTAGTTCTCTGCTATTTTCCTGATTGTGACATCACAAACAGGGACTAAAAGCAAACAGATGTACAGTTTTAATTGATCAAGTGGGTACAGAACCTTATGCTTGGGAACTAACAATCAAACAGTTGGTTACCTCACTGACTGACATCTACGACTAGTCGTCTGTCAAGAGCGTATTTTATCAGGGCGGGCTAGGGAACAAACTTGCACACCTTCAGAGGAAACATCACGCCTTTATTGTTGATTTTCACCTGTGTGTGTCAGTTACGCATCACATGATCAGAAGCAGACAATCGGGACGGTGCTTTGTCTAAGGCGAGAAGCAAACTGGAACATCTCTGCAGCTCACACACGGAAAAAGCTAGAAACACGATGATTCTTCCAGGGTTAGGTTCCAGCGTGAACTCCTAACCGCTGAGCCATGATTACTCAGGGGTCACGGCCAACAGTGACGTTTGTGATGAAGACCGTTGCTCTTCACCAACGGAGCAGTTAGGCTCCTCCGTCCACAAAATTAGACCCTGTCTCTTCTTTCCCAGACTCCATGAGGTTCTGATGGACCTTCAGAACCAGCAGCTCCAGCAGCTCACAGACTGGTTGGACATAACAGAAGCACGCATCAAGAGGATTGGCTCCCAGCCACTTGGTCCTGATCTGGAGGACATAAAGCACCAAGTAGAGGAACATAAGGTGGGTCTGCGCAAAAGCCCATTTTTATGGCCTGTTTCCATTAAACAGCAGATTTCTGATGAAAACTGAGAATAAAAGGATTAATTCGAGTGATTTATTAGTCATTAGAGGAACAAACGCTTCTAGTCCTCACTCCTGCGGTGTCCGTTGGCTGCTGTCCACACATCCTGTGGAGAGGTGGTATTTTTCACTTTTTCTGCACTTTGAGGTTCATATTAGAATAGAAGCTCAGTATTAAGAAAAGTAACAAAGGACAAAGCTGAATTACATCAGATTTATTGTTTTCGTCAGAAGCGTATTGGGATTTCATGTTTGGGCCTCACCACCTGCCCATTATTTTCTCCCAAAAGTCAGAAAAGGGCAGAATAAGAAAGAAGTGAGAAGGTCTCTGCATAGAAGTCACGTCTACGGGGTCATAGGTCATAGCACCAAACTGGCTCCATGGTAACTGGAACTGGATTAAACCGGGATGTACTGGATAGTCGGTTAAATTGGATTCATTTACTTTTCTGAAGCTGAGTAAAACCTAAATAAAGTAATATTCCTGTAATGCTTTAGTTGGAGCAGACACTTTTTGAAATGTTTCCTTTGATTACATTGAAATGAGACAGGAAGTGATGATGTAATAGACTGATGCTGGCAGAGCTGCGCTCCACATCATCTCTACCTGCAGCCAAGGCCAGAGTGAAGGAACTTTAATTCCATTAAAAGGTTCTGCAAGCATCTGGAGCTGCTCACAAACAGAAAGTAAAGGTCATCTGCAAAGCAAACAATCACAAACAACAACAAAATTTTCATAAATCAAACTACAAACGTCATCAAACAAATAACAGGTACTTAAAAACCCTTTTATAGACAAAAAGAGTAAAAATAAAAGATTTAGATAAATAAACGGTCTTCAGTTGTTTTTTAAAGTGTCCAGACCATCGACATACATACGGTCCAGACTGTCAGTGCACGTAAGGACTAAGGAAGAGTCGGGGTGCAACAGTCTGGGAGGAGCGACTTTCACATCTGGTCTTTGGAACTTCTGCTGTATGTGTTTCCTTCTGCTGCAGCTTCTCCAGGAGGACCTGGAGCTGGAGCAGGTGAGGGTGAACTCCCTGACCCACATGGTGGTGGTGGTGGACGAAAGCACCGGAGACTGTGCCACAGCCGCCTTGGAGAGCAAACTCCAGGTAAGTAGACACAAACTCCTCTTTTACTGTATCTGCTGACGTTTTCATTTTAGAATAAACCAAAGGAAGCAGTTGTTCATCAGTCCTCCCACTGAGCACGCTCATCCTGATGTTTGTTACTCATCCCTATCAGGAACTAGTCTGTGATGTCACACAACCAGGCTCCCTGGGTCAGAACTAGGGCTGCACGATATTAGGAAAACCTGCGATATTCGATAACAGTGATTAATATTGCGATGACGATATTACTTGCGATCAATAATAACTTGCTCAGGAACAAAAATAATCAAAAGCAAAGAATAAATAAATCATTAAAATGAGAAAAACAAAAGTTGTGAGGCAAGGGAAAAGAAAATGAACAAGAAAAGGCAACCAGTGGATCCCAGGAAAAGCAGAATCAACAGAAAGAGCAGAACTAAGCTAACTCAGGTGTTTGCTAACCATCAAAATTAGGTGCCGTCCGCCTCGGGGGCGGGCATCTGACCTATGAGAACCCACCCAAATGGGTGAAGAGCTGTATTTGATGTGTTAAAAAACACATCATGCTCATGTTTGACTAACAGAATGCATTACATGTAGCAAACATCTGAGCTGACCATTCATTACGATATTTATCTGCTCTTGTGCATGCTGATATCTCGATAACAATATATTTGCGATATATTGTGCAGCCCTAGACAGAATGCTAATGTGATGTTGTACTTTTCATTTTTAATCCCAACTTCTGTTTCCTTTTCTTGTGAAACCCCAAAAACCTTTTTCCGCTCAGGTTTTGATGCTTTGGAGACTCAAGCTGCACTTGGCCTAGCTGTTAGCTCCTCGGTCCTTCTGACCGTATACATTATCATCCTGACCTGAGCTCATTCAGTGGGCAGTCTAGAGAAGGTTTTTGGGGTCTTGGATAAATTTCAGTCTGGTTTTAGACAATATCACAGCACAGAATCCGCTCACATCAGGGTTTTTAATGATATTATTTTAGCCACGGATTCCGGTTCCCATGTTGCCCTGGTGATGTTGGACCTCTCAGCTGCATTTGACACAGTTGACCATGACATCTTATTGTCCTGCCTTGAGAATTTGGTCGGCATTAAGGGATCTGCGCTTGACTGGTTCTGCTCCTACTTTGACAACAGGTCTATTAGAGTTAGAATGGACAATTGTTCATCTCCCTCTGCTGCTCTGCCTTGGGGCGTGCCACAGGGGTCTATCCTCGGCCCCCTTTTATTTAGCATTTATATTCTTCCACTGGGACTAATCTTTAGGAAGTTCAACATTAACTTTCATCTTTATGTGGATGACTGCCAGATTTATGTTCCATTGAAGACTTTTACCTCCATCCAGCCGCTCCTTGATTGCCTGAGTGGCTGTCAGCAAATTTTCTGCTGCTGAATGATTTTAAGACCGAGTTTATTGTTTTTACTCCTAATGGCTCATCTTCCTCCGCTCCTGATTTTTCTGCTCTTCCTTTTAAAATTAGTCAAACAATTGTTAATCTTGGAACTTAAATGGATGTGGCTCTAAAAATGGACCCTCACTTTAATCACATGGTTAAATCGTGTTTTTATCAGCTGAGACTTCTTTCCAAACTAAAACCCATTCTGAATCGGCGCCACCTCGAGACAACCATTCACGCTTTCATCACCTCTAGGTTGTATTACTCCAATGCAATTCTGTTTGGCATTTCGAAGGCCGCATTATTTCGCCTTCTGCTGATACAAAATGCGACAGCAAGATTTCTGACAAATACTGGCCGTCGGCAGCACATCACTCCAAATTTAGCAAGACTTCACTGGCTTCCTGTGCACTACCGTATACGTTTAAAATGTTTATTGTTTGTTTTTAAGGCGCTGAATGGCTTAGCACCACCTTACATATCCGAGTTACTTACTCCTTATGTGCTGGGCAGGACACTCCGTTTAGGTGACCTACACCTACTACAGATTCCCCGTCTACCCCGCAAAACCCATGGTGAACGAGCTTTTTCTGTCTGCGCTCCGAAACTTTGGAATGATCTCCCGTTGAATATCAGACTCTCCCCCTCCATTGGGGTTTTTAAGTCTCACTTAAAGACTTACTTTTATTCCCTTGCTTTTACTGCCTAGCTATTTTATCTAGGTTTATTTACACTGTTCTTTTACCGACTTTATTGACTTCTCTTGTTTGGTTGTTTGTGCTATGCTCTAGCTGTTTTATTCTTTTATATTATTCTTTTAACCTTATATGTTTTTACCCCTGTACAGCACTTTGGTCAGCTCACATGCTGTTTTTAAATGTGCTTTATCAAATAAATGGAATGGAATGGAAGGTGAGACAGTTATTATTAGCACACTTTACAAAGAAGCATACATATGAATGGAAGGAAAAGTTTTAGAAATCTGCCTTTCGTGGCCTGGTAACCACATCACTGCCATGCGTGATCATTTTTCTTTACTTAAACTAATGGAAGAAAAAATGTTGAAGCAGCTAAAATGATAAGGTGGCTTACGTACACGATCACAGGCGTTTTATCTTTTTTTTTACCATGTCCTGTGTGGCTGGGAAGCAACCAGAATGTCTGGATGCAGTTTTATTCTCACCGGTGGAGCGTCTTAGCTTCTGCTATAGCGCCACTCCTGATACCAAAACTTTGTTTAAATCCCAACAGAGACAGAAGTGTATGAGAAAGGGGGAGAGAGAAGGAAGAGGCAGGGGAGGGGGAGTTCATAAAAATAAACAATTAATGGTGAACAAGAATCTGCTTCTAGACCTGCAGAGAGAGAGAGAGAGGACACAATACAACAAGACAAAATACCACTGCACCAACAACACGAGGATGTATGAAGAAACACACGGTAATAATTCATGGTGCATTTAGTGCCAACCACAGCCACCACACAGGTCATGTGTTGGAAATGCCCAAGTCCATCCTTGTGACAGCACCGTGAGCACCTGTGTGTGTACACACGCTTGTATATGTAAGGATTCCCTATCGGAACGTCCAATGGAGAGCGTAAGGGCCACAGATCTGCCACCAAAGATGTGTAGAAGATGGAGGAGTTTTAAGCCCTAGAGGTCCAAGGGTCTCCCCGAAGCACAGGAACCCCAGGGAGACAGCCGCCGGAGAAGCTCCAACCCCCGTCCTTAGAGGCGCAGAGGATTACCCCGAGGGCCACAACCAGCTGCCACCAGAGCCCTGGGAGATAACAACACCCCAGGCCCGCCCACCCCCGAGCTGGGCGGAGCCCACCTGACAGATACATTCACACACAAACACAGTCACACACTCCCTCCCTCATACTCACACATACGACCTAAAGACTTACAAGAACATACGTATTACACCCCCTTGCACCCTACCCACACTGGTCCCGGTACTGCTGCACAGAGGGCACAACCATTCACGGACACCAGACCGTAACCCAACTTCTAAATACTCTCCTGTCAGCATAAAACAAGTACCAATGTAACTGATGTAATCAGTAACTAAAGCATCTGCACCCAGGATGAACAGAGTGTAATAAAGTATGAAACCAAAGCCGTTGTAGAACTCAGCAAAAGAAAGCAGGAACCCAAAACGTCCTTCACAAATGACCTTCTACCCCTAAATCTATGTTTCTCATGATGTGGAAACACAACCGTGTAGGTTCATGACTAGAGTACAAAGATTACTCCACAGGGTCTACGCGTCTGTCTCCAGTGTGGATGTGAAGAAGACACAAACCAGAGAGTATCGAACAGGAAGCAGTTTAGTCTGTGTTCCTGTGCTTTAATTAGACCTGGCCAGCATGAGGTTCCTCCTATGGGCGTTTACTCTGTAGGCAGCCTGTTTCTAGGTTATTGTGTTTCCTTCTTCCTCTTCCTGTCTGATACATGAAGCTCAACCCAGGACCCTCATTTTTCAACCCTACTTACAACAGATCTGTGCGTATTTCATGCATTGGAACGACTTTACGCATCGGGTGGCACTTACCAATTTGTATTTATGTGTAGAAATGTTCCTATCTATAAGAACAGCTGTGAACATGCATAGCGTCAGCATCTAGTGGTAGAACGGGGGAACAGCAGTACTGAAGGGCTGTCGTCCACACGTGTTCCTCATCCACAAATTATATTTACCCAATAAATAAATAAATGGTCGTTGTAGTTTTATAAACTGCTGATTACACTGAAGAGAACATCTCTGCTGTGAACTACATTTATTGAGCATCTTCATTCTTTTAGCCGTTCTTTTCAAACTTTATTTTCTGCTTCCTCTCTACTGTGCTGCTTTGTTTACAGCTCGCCCACAGTGACTGACGACATTATGCTGTCGCGTGGCACGGGTACCGAAACAAGGCACCGTTTCATACGACGTGAATCGGTACTCAGTCGGCACTATTGAATTCGGTCTGTGCCTTAAAAAGTACCAACTTCTGTACCCATCCCTAGACTGATGGGAATCAGACAGCATGGCGGTTCTGTGTTATTGGAGGACTCTAAACTGAATTGGTAGGAAGGACGTTAGGACAGTTCCCACGAGCGTGTAATTGAGGGTTCTGGTGTCGACCACAGAGAACAGAGCAGCAGCTGTGAAATCCCTGAGCAGAGGTCTGGTCATGTCACCATCTCAGCCTTCATTTTAGGGTATTTGATCTGCCCATACACGACTGTGAGTGTGTGTGTGGGTGATTAATCATGTGTTTGTTTATTTGTTTATCTACTCATCACTTGACTGAATGAGTGCGTCTCCTGGACCCACTTGAGCTGTACTTCCTGTAAAGCAGAACCACCCTCGCTCTGTGGAAGGTGGCGCTGTGCCCTGGATCACAGCTGCATCCTTAATAAAAGACAGAACCGATGAATAGACGACAGAAAACAAGTTCTGGAATTCAAATGAAAACATCCGCTGCCGTTCCCGGCCGAATTAGTTACAGACCTTTCATCTGTAGACCAGTGTGCTGGAGATGCCTCTAGTATTTCTCTACTTTAAAGCACAGATTATAATTCTAATCCCTCTCACATGCTTCTGGGGTTTAGTCCAGCCTTTTGGAGACATGTTGGACTGTCCTGTATGGGGTTACATCCCATCCCACAACAACAGTGAAATCAGCTGATCAGTGTTGTCATCGTCGTTGTTTTCCTCCTCTTATCTGGGTCCGGGTCGTGGGGGCAGCATCCCAACTAGGGAGCTCCAGACCGTCCTCTCCCCAGCCACCTCCACCAGCTCCTCCGGCAGGACCCCAAGACGTTCCCGGACCAGATTGGAGATGTAACCTCTCCAACGTGTCCTGGGTCGGCCCGGGGGCCTCCTGCCGGCAGGACATGCCCAAAACACCTCCCCGGGGAGGCGTCCAGGAGGCATCCTGACCAGATGCCCAAACCACCTCAACTGACTCCTTTCGATCCGGAGGAGCAGCGGTTCTACTCCGAGTCCCTCCCAAATGTCCGAGCTCCTCACCCTATCTCTAAGGCTGAGCCCGGCCACCCTACGGAGGAAACTCATTTCGGCCGCTTGTATCCGCGATCTCGTTCTTTCGGTCATTACCCAAAGCTCATGACCATAGGTGAGGATTGGGACGTGGATCGACCGGTAAATCGAGAGCCTGGCTTTCTGGCTCAGCTTCCTCTTCACCATGACAGATCGGTTCAGCGTCCGCATCACTGCAGATGCCGAATCAATCCGCCTGTCGATCTCCCGATCCCTCCTACCCTCCCTCGTGAACAAGACCCCGAGATACTTACAGGTGCTGGCCAGTAAATTAGAATATCATCAAAAGGTTGAAAATATTTCAGTAATTCCATTCAAAACGTGAAACTTGTACATTATATTCATGCAATGCACACAGACCAATGTATTTCCGATGTTTATTACGTTTAATTTTGATATTTATAGGTGACAACCAATGAAAACATCAAATCTGGTATCTCAGAAAATTAGAATATTCTAAAGGCCAATGAAAAAATGTTTGTTTCTCTAATGTTGGCCAACTGAAAAGAATGAACATGAAAAGAATGTGCATGTATAGCACTCAATACTTAGTCGGGGCTCCTTTTGCCTCAATAACTGCAGTAATGCGGCGTGGCATGGACTCGATCAGTCTGTGGCACTGCTCAGGTGTTATGAGAGCCCAGGTTGCTCTGATAGTCGTCTTCAGCTCCTCTGCATTGTTGGGTCTAGCGTATTGCATCCTCCGCTTCACAATACCCCATAGATTTTCTATGGGGTTAAGGTCAGGCGAGTTTGCTGGCCAATCAAGGACAGGGATACCATGGTCCTTGAACCAGGTGCTGGTGGTTTTGGCACTGTGTGCAGGTGCCAAGTCCTGTTGAAAGGTGAAGTCTGCATCCCCATAAAGTTGGTCAGCAGCAGGAAGCATGAAGTGCTCTAAAACTTCCTGGTAGACGGCTGCATTGACCCTGGACCTCAGGAAACAGAGTGGGCCAACACCGGCAGATGACATGGCACCCCACACCATCACTGACGGTGGAAACTTTACACTGGACCTCATGCAACGTGGATTCTGTGCTTCTCCGCTCTTCCTCCAGACTCTGGGTCCTTGATTTCCAAAGGAAATGCAGAACTTGCTTTCATCAGAAAACATAACTTTGGACCACTCAGCATCAGTCCAGTCCTTTTTGTCCTTGGCCCAGGCGAGACGCTTCTTGTGCTGTTTCTTGTTCAAGAGTGGCTTGACACACGGAATGCGACACCTGAATCCCATGTCTTTCATGAGTCTCCTCGTGGTGGTTCTTGAAGCGCTGACTCCAGCTGCAGTCCACTCTTTGTGGATCTCCCCCACATTTTTGAATGGGTTTGTCGTCACAATTCTCTGCAGGGTGCGGTTATCCCTAGAGCTTGTACACTTTTTTCTACCACATTTTTTCCGTCCCTTCGCCTGTCTGTTAATGTGCTTGGACACAGAGCTCTGCGAACAGCCAGCTTCTTTAGCAATCACCTTTTGTGTCTTGCCCTCCTTGTGCAAGGTGTCAATGATTGTCTTTTGGACAGCTGTTAAGTCAGAAGTCTTCCCCATGATTGTGGTGCCTTCAAAACAAGACTGAGGGACCTTTTAAAGGCCTTTGCAGGTGTTTTGAGTAAATCAGCTGATTAGAGTGGCAGCAGGTGTCTTCTATATTCAGCCTTTTCAGAATATTCTAATTTTTTGAGATACCAAATTTGGAGTTTTCATTAGTTGTCACTTATGAATATCAAATTTAAATGTAATGAACATTGGAAATACATTGGTCTGTGTGCATTGCATGAATATAATGTACAAGTTTCACGTTTTGAATGGAATTACTGAAATATTTTCAACCTTTTGATGATATTCTAATTTACTGGCCAGCACCTGTAAACTCCTCCACTTGAGGTAGGACCTCTCTCCCGACCCGGAGTTGGCAAGCCACCCTTTTGCGGTCTGATCAGTGTTGGTAAATGTAACCAAGGGTTCCTGAGCCCTAACATTACAACTATGAAGATGTACACCTTTAACCAGCGTTGGCTTCTGTGTTACTACTACTGCAACCATGGACCAGGGCCAGAGCCAGGGCTAGGGTTGTGTGCAGGTGAGTAGGTCTGGCGTTTAGCTCCACCCACTAAATAAAGCTATACGCAGCTCCTGTGAACAGGTTTGGTAGAACAACAGTAGGTGTGGAGATATTCACCACACAACTGTAAAGGCTCTGGCATATCTGGTATTTGTGAAGCAGGAACATAGAAAAGTTTACTTTCATTTTCTCCATGTCTGATTTTTGCCTAATGCTAAAGCTGACTGAGGTTGTTCTGAACCTTGTCAGTGACCCTAAAGTCCATCATGTCCCTGCTGCTGTCCTGCGTTTTAGAGTCTTCTACATTCATGACCTCCTCAGAGAAGAAGCAGCAAGAATCAAACTGTGTCTGACAGCTAAAAGAAATTTGTTTAAATGTGAAGCAATTAGGCAACATGATGAAACTTTCACAGCGCCTGAGAGAAAATGTTCTTTATTATGTGACGCTAACAGGAAGAAGGGCTTGTGTGATCTGTTCAGGTTCTAGGAGACCGCTGGGCAGCTATTTGCAGATGGACAGAAGAACGCTGGATTCTTCTTCAGGAGGTTCTGTTGAAATGGCAGCACTTCACCAAAGAGCAGGTAGGTGTGTGTGTGGGGGGGGGGGGGGTTGTGTGTGTGTGTGTGTGTGTGTGTGTGTGAGTGTGTGTGTGTGTGTGTGTGTGTGTGTGTGTGTGTGTGTGTGTGTGTGTGTGTGTGTGTGTGTGTGTGTGAGTGTGTGGTTGTGTATGAGTGTGTGTGTGTGTGTGTGTTTCAGTGTGTGTGTTTGTGTGTGGTTGTGTGTGTGTGTGTTTGTGTGTGTGAGTGTGTGTGTGTGTGTGTGAGTGTGTGGTTGTGTGTGTGTGTTTCATTGTGTGTGTTTGTGTGTGTATGTGTGTGTGTGTGTGTGTGTGTGTGTGTGTGTGTGTGTGTGTATGTGTGTGTGTGTATGTGTGTGTGTGTGTGTGTGTGTGTGTGTGTGTGTGTGTGTGTGTGTGTGTGTGTGTGTGTGTGTGTGAGTGCACTAGTAGGTTTCTTTGTAAATTTGGGGTGGGGTTAACCATCTTTATCTTCTCCAGCTGCTCTTTGGTTCAACTTTTTATTTCAGCTCATCTTCCATTTTTCTCCAACACTGATCATTAATCTGACCGTTCCATCCATCCTTTATAATCTGCCCACATTCCCTCTAACCTCCATCTCTCTTCCTGGTTCCTTGTTGTCCTTCCTGCTTTCCTTTCCACCCAGTGTTTGTTTGACTCCTGGTTGACTCAGAAGGAGGAGATGGTCCGTTCCATGAAGACCTCCAACATCAAAGACCAGGCAGAGGTGTCTGCCTGCTTACGTCTGATAGCTGTAAGTTGTTATTGAATCTCTGCTGGACCAAAAACTAGGAACTTTGCTGAAGTCCTCTTTGTTTTTTGTCCACCTGTCTCACCAGATGTTGAAGGCAGAACTTGAGGCCAAGCATCCCACCATGGATAAGCTGTGCTCCATGAGCCAGGACCTGCTGTTCAGCATCAAGAACAAAGATATAGCCAGCAAACTGGAGGCCAGACTGGACAGCTTTGCCCAGCGTTGGGACCGTTTGGTCCATAGTCTGGAGATAAACAGCTCTCAGGTATGTCGCATACCATGAAACATGCATGACTCTTTTTTGATGAGATAAATGTTACACCCTGGCTCCTTTCTGGTACTCCAGCATCCTTAGCACGATGTCCAGCAAGGCCAGGGGGCAGGTCATGTCCTTAAACTTCAGCATCCCTTTACATGCTCCTGGACATCTGAGACATGGGACAACAGTGCAGCTACCATTCTAGTTCTGTGCTTTTGTCTTTCAATCCAATCGGCACACATTAACATCAAACGGAGAAGGAAAGAGAGCAGGTTGTTCAGTTATCTTATGGTGCTTTTCCATCAGCACTACTCAGCGTATCTTGGATTGGTACAGTTTGGTTTGACAGCCTTTTCCAACGGCATGGTTTGGTATTTTCATCAACTGTCCAGTCCCCGCTTCCTTGTGGTTCCTAGCAGGCTGAACAGGGCCGGCTCCACTCAGTTTGGTGCCCCAGGCGAGATAACTCCTTGGCACCCCTCCACCCCGCTGCTCGCACACACCTTTTTTTTGTGTGCCCCCCCGACACAAATACAGAATTTAAGGACAGCAGCATCTAAATGATCACAACAGTTTAATATTTATGATAAATAATGAGAACGAGCAGCTATGTTTCTGCAGCAAAGGCAGCTGAAGTATTATTAGATGGTCAGGGCTGATGTTTGTAAGAACGAGTCCTTTAACACAGACACATGCTGCATCTCAGGTGTGCTTTAATCAGCTCCTCTCTGCTGCAGCAGCTGTCACTGGCATCATGGCAGCAATCCTCAGGGCCACCAGCTTATCAGTTTCTCTCCTCCTTTTGTAAAACCTGATTTTAGCTGATGAATCCTCTGTGGACCAGCTCCTCCTTCATCTTACCAGACTGATGAGGTCAGTCAGCAGGTCTAAAGGAGCCTTGAGAAACTCGTCATGAACTTCACGATGTGATGACGGGTGTGGGCGTCCTCAGGCTGCTGAGTTGATGCTGTCTGTCCCTTCAGCTGGAAGCGAATCAAACACATGACACGTGTAAACATAGATATTAATCCTTCAGTGAGGTCACACAGTGATGTAGAAATGACAGGATGTCAGGTATTAAACACACCTGAGCAACAGGTGTTCAGTGACAGGACTTCAGCTGTAACATGCTATTACAGAACTCACTCAGAGGTGAGGGTTGATGCTGCTGCTGCTGCTGATGATGATGATGAAGGTGATGCCTGCTGACATGTAGCAACATTCAAGCATAGAGCACATCCAAGCTGCATTTGGCTGGTTGTGTCCTACTACCTCATTGTAGAAATACAATAATGGAGTTTATTAATAAAGTTAGAATGTACAAATAATAATTTATCTGACTGATTCCTACTGTACATGGGCTGCGCAGTGGCGCAGTGGTTAGAGCTGTTGCCTTGCAGCATGAAGGTCCTGGGTCCACTTCCCGGCCTGGGGTCTTTCTGCATGGAGTTTGCATGTTCTCCCTGTGCATGCGTGGGTTCTCTCCGGGTACTCCGGCTTCCTCCCACCATGCAAAAACATGACTGCTAGGTTGTTTGGTCTGTCTAAATTGTCCCGCCTGATTGCCAGTTGACCGCTGGAGATAGGCACCAGCCCCCCCCCCCCCCCCCCCCCCCCCCCCCCGCAACCCTGCGTGGACACAGCGGGTTCAGAAGATGGGTGGATGGATGATTCCTACATTTACTGTAGTTACTAACAAGGCTGCCCCGTTCATTAGCTGCAACAACAACTTATCAGCGGGGCAGAGCTTACCTGCTTCAGGGTGGTGTTGGTGTGGATGCTTCATCAGAAGCTTCAGGGTGGATTTTGCTATCATGCCGCTCCTCATATCATAACTTTGTTAGAGATACCTTTGGTTGTTTTAAATCCCAAAGAACATGGAGACAAAAATGAAAGAGAAAGGGGGAGAGGAAAGGAACAGGTGGTGTTCACAGAAATAAATAATGAATGTACAAGAGTCTGGTTCTAGACGTGCTGAAAGAGAGAAAAAAGGGACAACAGAACCAAACAGAACTGCTTCAACAACATGAGGATGTTTAACAGGAACAAGTTTTGCTGAAAGGCACACGGTCATTACTCATAGTGCATTTAGTGCCAACCACAGCCTTCTTAACTCTACTCTACTTTACATCTATAGCACATTTACACAGTTCTCATTGACCAATGTCTCTGTTTGCTTCTGATGAGGAGGGCCAACGAATCTCAGCAGGAAGTTGCTGAGATTATGAAGTAAAGTAAATAATCAGCTATAAAAAGTCTTAGAGACGCTTGACTTTGATGCGGCTGATATCTTTATGATAAATTCAGTTCAATATGTTACAGAGTGTTGCTAGTGACCATTAACACTGGGAGCGACCGAACCAGATGGCAGAACCTTTCTGTCTGTAATACTTACCCAGTTTAATACATTTGGTTAATTGTGATGAAGTGAGAATAAAAAAGAATTAGATTAACTGTTTAGTATAGATTCGGGATTGCTGTGATGTGATTGGTGGAAACGCTCTGTGTAGTCCCCTTAAAAGGGGTGTGTTCCATCTACAGGGATCAGGCTAACCCTAACCCTAAGTCTAATCTATGCTCCTCCATCTGCGTGGGTATGGAGACACACAACACACAGGCTGACTGGGACATGACCAACCTTTTAACTCAGGTTACAACATTAGCTTACTGCCGTTGTGTGTTTACCTGTAATCTTGTTATTATGTCCCTTCTTCCTTTTCTCTAACTGTTGGTGCTGCTGTAGCAAGTTACAGTGCCATTAGTCATCACACTCTGGTGAAATTCATCTCTGCATCTGGCTCATCCCTGTGGGGAGCGGTGAGGTGCAGCAGTGGCCACGCTCAAGAACTATTTAGTGGTTTAATCCCCAATCCAACCCCTTAAAGCTGAGTATCAGGCAGGGAGGCGTTGGGTCCCATTGTTCAGGTCTTTGGTATGACCCGACTGCGATTTCAACTCCTGATCTCCCAGTTCCAGGGTGGACATTACCACTAGGCCATTGAGAAGGTGTAATGAGTGAATTTCACCAGTTCAGATTCATAAAGTAAGTTCTATTCTATTCTATTCTATTCTATTCTATTCTATTCTATTCTATTACATTACATTACATTACATTACATTGCATTCTATTCTACTCTGTTTTACTCTATTCTACTTTACTCTATGAACTATTTAGTGGTCTATTCTACTCTGTTATATTCTACTCTACTCTACTTTACTCGATTATATTCTGCTCTATTTAACTCTACTTTACTTTATTCTATTCTCGTCTGTTCTATTCTACTCTGCTCTATTCTGATATACTCTCTTCTACTCTATTCAATTCTACTCTGATCTACTCTGATCTCTTCTACCCTAACATACTCCACTCCACTCTACTCTATTCTACTCTACTTTATTCTACACTATTCTACGCTGCTCTACCCTGCTCTGCTCTACTCTACTCTACTTTACTCTACTCTACTCTACTCTACTCTACTCTACCCTACCCTGATCTGCTCTACTCTACCCTGCTCTGCTCTACTCTACTCTACTCTACTCTACTCTACTCTACTATTCTATTCTTCCAACATGATTGAGACATTAGACTGTTTTGGGATTATTTGACTGTATAATCCATAATGATGCTTCTGTAATCTGAGTAGATAAAACTGCCTCCCTACACTGAATTGTCTTTTATTGTGTTTATGGGATGTTGTCCGACAGTCAGAATGAAAAATGGGGCAGAATAACAGGGATTGGTTGAAAAATCTTCGACATCTGGGATTATAACAACCCGTGGCTTTGAGGTTACAGATGTATTTGCACATCTCAGCTACTCCTCAAATTTCTTAAATGAAAATGAATCCAGCAGCAAACGTCAACAAGAGAACCATGTGTTCCTTCATTCTTTGGTATATTAAATTATTGGTAATGAGCATCGGTCCATCCTGAGAGATAAGTGACAACCCTCCTGACCACAGTGGGACTGTTGATGTAGAGGAAATTAACCTCTGAGACATCAGGCCATAAGTAGCACACACACACACACACGCACGCACGCACACACACACCACACACACACACACTTTAGTCAGATGAAAACAAAATCCATCAAAGTGCTGTCGCTCGCCCTGTCTGTCCCTCCCTCCCTCTCTCTGTTTTAATTACTTGTCCGTTAGAATCAGGTGGGTAATTAGCGTATTGACCTCTCCAGGTGGACACCTAGCTGTGAACACCCAGGTTTCCATGGCAACAGGAATCAGATGGTGGTTGAATCTGGGCTCGTTAGGCTCTTCCTCTCTGAGATAAACACTAGAAAACAGAAACTCGACTGAAGATGAATCTCTTCATCTCAGTTAATGTTTATCTGGACAATTGATTGTTGTTTTTATCCATTTTCAGCTTTCATCAGCTGTCAGCGCGACTAAGCAGCCCGAGTTTACCCAGTCTGTCACAACGACCACTACCAAGGTGACGAGGGAGAAGGTGTCAGCGTTACGGCAGGCACGGGAGTCCCCACCACCACAGAAGAAGAGACAGGTGGTGGTGGATTCTGAGCTCAGGAAAAGGTGAGCATGTGGCAGCACCAGCAGCGTTTAGCAGACGTGAAGTACTTCTCTAACTTGTGTCAACTGTTCAGATTCATGCACCCCTTCCTGCTGTCCTACGTCAGCAGGTAGGTGATGAAAGCCTGCGGGCGCAGGTCATAGTCGAGCCGGCTGTAGGCTGAACACCAGCGAGTAGAGAGGACTCAGGTGTGCTTCGTAGTGACAGGAGATGTTTTACAGGTTCATGCTGGTGTATTCAGGGGTCCTTTGGTGGGTGGGGGTACCTTCATAGTTTTGTTATGATGTTCAAAGTTTTACAATAAGAATAAGCTTTGTCCAAGTTCTGCTTTTAATATTAAAATGTAAAATGAACAGAAACAAAATGTTAAACACAAGGCTTTCAGAGTCGTTTGTTTGACTTCCTGTCGTAGCGGCAAGTAGCTGAAAACACGGAAAAGGACGAAACAAGGTCCAGTCTGATAGCAGGTGAATGAGGGAGAAGTAACACGTGGTGCGTTCACATCCGGGTCGGCACGGCGACGCTCTGGTAGAGACTATTGTGTTCACATTGGGCTAGTCGGTGTGTTTACTGAACTCAACAGACCCTTTCTTCAGACCTGCTCTCTCGGTGATCCGCTACAGGCTAAACTGACCAACACACCCGCTGTCGACTGATTAGCCAGCTGAAATTCACGCCTACCTTCATGAGGAGTCTCCAAAAGGCAGGTAGAATCAGCCAGTGGGGGCGTCTCACATGTGTGGTTTATCATTCTGGATGCTGAGGAGTAAACATCTCCTCTGCTGCAGTAGTGCCAGGACAGGCTGCTGTGAGGACTTCTCTGCTCATCTTTTACCCCGCCTACAGGCTCATAGATTTCCGCATTCTCGAGAAAATCGTGTGAACAAAACCTGGCCGTGCGCGACCAGGCGAACGCTAGCAAGACCGGGCTGGACCGGGTTAGCGTTGTGGACGGATGTGTCTGATTGTCTGAGATACTGTACAAAGACAGTCTGTGTGTGTGTGTGTGTGTGTGTGTGTTGCCAGGTTTGACGTGGACTTCACAGAGGTCCACAGCTACATGACCCGTGCGGAGGCCATCCTACAGAGTCCGGAGTTCTCCGTGTCACGGAAGGACGGCAGCATTCAGGAACTGCATGACAAAGTTCAGGTAAATCTGATGAACTCTATTGGCTGGAACCCATCCAACTTTTCTACCTGATCTGATCTAAACATAATCAGGGACGAAGCTTCACTGTGTTTATAAGACGTGGTTGAAAAACCTACTGACCATATTTATCTACAGGTGAAACTGGGACAATTTTAACATGGTACTAAAGCAACAAGGTCCGGACCAAGTACTGAATACATATATAATAATGCTTTTTCAGAAGTCTGATTAATCTCTATTTAAAATCCTTGTTTAACTGATATACATCGTTACATGCAGCGAATGCGGGAAGAATGGTCACTTCTTCGACACTAACAGCATAAAACTGGTATCTCAGCGTTCCAACATCCACAAACAGCAGCTGCTGTCGCAACTTGAGATTGATGACATAAAACACAAATGCTACGGCAACGGGGAGCCCGGACACAAGGTCAGAGGGGAGTTAACATCAGCTAACCCTAACCATCAAATAAACCAGCTGCTAATGAATGGGACTCACCCTGAAGAGCTAACTGAAGGGCCCACAGCTCACTCCTAGTCGAGTCTCCTGCTTGCCCGTGGACCGGTTACAGACTCTGCAGAACGCAGCTGCAAGGTTCTTAACAAACACAAACCGATGTAGTCTTGTGACCCAGTTTTGGCGGTTCTGGCTACCTGTGGCTTTTAGAATACAATGTAGAGTCCTGCTTTTTGTATTTGAAGCGTTGAACTGTCTAGACCTTCATATTTGTTGGACCTTCTCATGCCCTACGTGCCTGTGCTCTCGCTACGATCAGCTGAAAGCCTGCTACTTTGCACCCCCACTATGAATTACGAGGCAAGGAGGGAGCGAGCCTTCCTGTATGTTGATCCCACTCTGGAAATCATTGCCAACCACTATTCCACGGCCATCATCCGTTGGAGCCTTCAAGTCACGGATGAAGACGCATTTCTACGATTTGGCTTTTAGACCGTCAGTTTTTGTTTTTATTTATTTTTATTCTGTATTTTGACTTTTTTCATCTGTTCTTATTGACAGTTTTATCTGTATTTTATGTTTTTATGCTGTTGTTTGGGAGGAACTTCGGTACGGTATTGGTATGGTATAGATACCGACTCAAGAATGGAACCTCAATCAGCCATCTCCTCTATATGGCAACAAGATCTGCATCATAACAGCTACGCCCAGCCAGTAGTCAGACATTCTGCAGTAATAATAAGCTGGCCAAAGGAAGAAATACAGACCAAAGATGGTAAGACACAGCAGCTCCTAAACAAGCATGGACGGTTCCGTCCCAAATCCAGCACCCTGAGACTGTACACTAGCCGTAAGGAAGGAGGCCGAGGTCTTGTGAGTGTGAGAGCCATTGTCCAGGATCAAACAGCCAAGATCCATAAGTACATCAAGGACAACCCCCAACAGATGTCATGCTCAGTGAATGTCTCAGACAATGGAGAACAGAGGATGGAGATACCATCATGGGAGGACACACCCCTACATGGGATGTACCATCCACAGATAACTGAAGTTACCGTTATCAAGAAATCCTACCAATGGCTAGAGAGAGCTGGTCTGAAGGAAAGCACAGAGGCTTGTCATGGCTGCACAGGAACAGGCCCTGAACACCAGAGCAACAGAGGCCAAGATCTACCACACCAGACAAGACCCAAGGTGTAGAACCCTGAGACTATCCACCACATAACTGCAAGGTGTAAGATGCTGGGGGAGGACCCAAGCCTGCAAGGATGAGACCACCCCCGGAGGTGATACACCACCAGAACAGCTTTATGGAGCTGGAGGTTTCTATCGGCTACATTCCTCAGTGAAGGAATGTTTCAGGAAACATGATCAGAATGTCGGTCATGATTCATTAATATTCAGACCTTAAAGGGACTTTACAGAGTTTTGAATTTTTATGCTCGCGATTGCCCCCTCAGGCCAAAAGTGTAACGGCAGCTTCAATAGTAGGCTCGTGCACGAGGCGCGCATGCTGTACGTGCACACTCCTTAACGAAAATAACAGCTGAGACAGTCAGCTCCGTGTGTGTGTGTGTGTGTGTGTGTGTGTGTGTGTGTGCGTGCGTGCGTGCGTGCGTGCGTGCGTGCGTGCGTGTGTGTGGCCCGGAGGACAGAGGACAGGAGAACGCGCAGCTAATTAATTAAATAACTTGGTTCTGTACGTTTCTCTTCAGCACAGCCGACAAAGGTTTAAGATGGGCCAGTCCTCCTGCACGCTCTTGAAAAATTGTTCCAAAATGAAAGTTGAACCCACATCTTTTTTATCTGTCAATTCAATGCCGTTCTGCGAGTCTCAAATAAAAATGTGGGCATCTTACTGTAAAAAAAATATACCATTAATGTAAAAAAGAAACTAAATAAATTATGTTCACATCCAGAATCGAACCCAGGTCTTCTGCACAAGAGTCCAACAACTAACTAGGCGAGCTACTGCCTCAATGATGTCACTTGTATCTGTAGCATTTATATCCTTGATGACAGCTGAAACAACGTTCAAAGAACGGCTCTGAGGGCGATGCCTGAGCGTGAACGCGCATGAAGCAGCCTGCTCGACCCGAGCAGCTCTCTCTTTCTGTGATTTTACAGAAAAACAGGCAATCACAGTAAAAATGCCAGGGCTCATTCTACAGGACCAGGGCATTGCTGGATAATGTGTGAAGAAGAAATGTATTATTTCTATACATGTTTTGGCTGTCAAACTTCCATAATGCCCCTTTAAAGTGTTGTCATGCATGTGCATCTAAAGCATTATCTACATCTCAGTCTGACTACATTATACATTCATATTTCTTTGTTGTAGAAAGTTTTAACTCTTGATGAAAATATTTCAAAATAAGTCCTGAAGTAGAAAAATCTAAAGATTTAGAATAAAATACATTGTTTAGATTATTTGGAATATTAATTTTGTAGAATAATTGATCAACTGATAAATGAGTGTGTGTAGTTGAGTATAAAGCTCTTCCTGGTGGGGAGATTCTGGGACTTTCAGGAACACTTCTGATAGGATGAAGATCCCAAACCAACGCCCATCCATACGAAGAACTGGAGAAGGATCATTCATCTTCCCTCTGTTGGTCTAATGGGGCCATGAGGTCAGACTGGAGCAGAAACCGAGTCAGAACCAAAAGTGTGAATCTGAAGCATCTGATGTGAACAAAGAAACACTGCTAGTTAGCAGGTGTGGAGCAGTGCGGAGGTCCAGACTCCTGCTGCTAGATGATCTGAGGACCAGATTTCTTGTGTTTGATTTGATGTAAAAGTTCTGAAGGAGATCTGTTTTGGGTCCTGGCCAATCCTTCATCCTCCCTGGTCAGAGTAGGTTTCAGCTAACAGGTAACTCCGCCCCTGCTGTTGTATCCCCGTCCAATCGAACCCACCCAGGTGTGAAAGCACCCCTCAGTACCAGGGTCACTGCTTCTGGCTCTCTACAGCTGATGAGTCCAGATGTTTGCTGCTGGACTGATTAAATCTGCAATAACCACTGATTAGAGTTGAAATGCTTATCTTATAGTGTCACTAATAAGTCCTCTGCTGGCAGCCTGCCCACCTGTAATGTCTTCCTCATGTGCCCCCCCTCCCCCAGGCCATAGAGAGAGAGCGGCCAGAGAAGTACAGGAAGCTTCAGGAGGCGACGCGCACGGCTCAGACCCTCGCCGAGCAAGGTACACTCACACTCTCACAGGCATGCACAACCCGTCTGTCCCCATGGCAACGCCTCCACCTGTCCCACCCTCTCTCCCCGTCTCCATAGAAACTGCGACAGAGAGGAAAAAGGACAGGGATGTATCTTTGTGTGTGTCTGTGCAATTGTTGCCTTTCCTGAAAGCAACAGAAGAACCAGAGTCTTACTTTTGTTTCAGTAACCTTTAGCCAAAGCACGGAGCCACGGCAGGACTACGTCCTCCTACCAGTACACCACACACACCAGCCTGTCCGTGTATCACTGCCAGGAATGTAAATGAATTATAAATGGCCAGCATTTGATGAAGCACCTTTTGGAGTCCTGGAACCCCCAAGGTGCTTTACAACACAGTCAGTCATTCACCAATGCACACTCTGGTGATGATGAGCTACGATGTAGCCACAGCTGCCCTGGGGCACGCTGACAGAGGAGAGTCTGCCGTACACAGGTACCAGCGGTCCCTCTGACCACCAGCAGTAAGCGAGGTGGGTTAAGTGTCTTGCCCAAGGACACAACAGCAGCAACAGACTGAATGGGGCTCGAACCTGCAACCTTCTGGTTACGGACCACTTAACTCGTGTGCCACCGTCGCCCACAGAAATGATATTTTATGTTTTTACCGGCACAGAGAAGACAAGTTCTCCATGTTCAGGGACAAGGTTTCAGCTCAGAACAGATCTCTGGAGTAGCACAGTAGCTTCCATCTTCATGTCTGTCACCGTGTGTGTGTGTGTGTGTGTGTGCGCGTGTGCGTGTGTGTGTGTGCGTGTGCATGTGTGTGTGTGTTGTTTATCTGATTTTCTTCAGTGAGACCACAATGTCCTTAACAAGGGATATTTTCATTCTATTCTATTCTATTATCTGATTAATTCGGTTCTATTCTATTCTGGCTTACTTGGGGGAAACACAATGTTAACATTTTATTTCCTCTAATAAAAAAGCCTAAACCTGTTCTGCCATATTGTGGAGTTGCTAATGCTAACAGTTAGCTTCTACTAGCAGAGACGTGCTTTGCTTTCACCTCCCCATGGGCGGTCCCAAGCCAAGGTGGGTGGGGCCATGAACAGTAATTTTCCCTGCGACGGAGAGGAGCCTGTTTCTGACCCAATCGCTTTCCCGTCTGTTTCCTTTCTGCCGCTGATTCAGGAGATGGGATGGAGAACGTTCCATGTCCAGCATGTATGTCAAACTCAGAGTGACCAATCATATTCCAGAAAAATTAATGATATAGTTTCTATGGAAACCAGAGCCTTAATTTCTTGGAACTCTTCACTTTTCAGATTGAAGTGATGAGGCTCCCTAGTGAGAAACATGTTTTGGACCTGGCAGAGTGAAACCAGAACAGCACAGAGACCAGCAGCATTTCTCGGGTTCTGTTAGGGTTCTACTTTAGATGGTTATCATCTCATGATTCCCCTGAAAACATAGTTTGTTTAGGGTCAGAGCGTTTACATGCACATCAGAAAACCGAACTATTACCCAGAACAGACTTTTTTTTAAATGCACGTAAACGCGTTAGTCTGGCTGAAGACGAGCTGGTTCTAACCTTGCTGAAGCACCCAGATGATGCAGTGGGACAACGATTCCATCTGGTGACTGTCAGAAGTGATGAGGTCGTGGATGGGGTTTTTTGGTAGTATCATCACCACAAAGTAACATGTGCAACACCATCAAACAATCTAGAACGTACAAAATAAGCTGTGCTGCAGGGTTTTTGTTGTCCAATCCTTCAGCCTTTCTGCCTCCACCTGCTTCACCTCCACCAGCGTGTTTTAGAAGCTAACCGGAAGTATGCCGGCACAAAAGGCTGCATGCCACCACCTACTGTACTGGGTGGAACGAAATTCATTTCAGAGTTTGGTTTGTGAATGTACATGTAAACTAGAATAAAGGCTCCCTGTTTAGTACTTAGATGGACTTAGATGAGCGTGTAAACGCAGTGTCAGAGGATCCAGCTTCGTATGGCTGTCCTGTGTTGATCCAACTCTTGTCCCTCCACCTCTGTTTCTCCTCCACTCCAGAGGGAAGTCGGGCTGATGACATTGCTCAGGCAGCAGACCAGCTAAATCAGCGCTGGGTGGGTTTCTGCACCCTGCTGGCCGACAGACTGGCATGGCTGGCCTACCAGACCAAGGTATGTATGTTGGATTCATCACACTAGACCCAAGATCATGTCCTTTATGACTTAACTTACCAAGTGGATTGCTTACCAACTTAAAGTGTTGACTGGACCAAAACTATACCACAGATCATCAGATCACCCAGTAAACTGAGAAGTTTGCTTTCTGGCGGAATCAAAAAAGTTTAGAAAGCCTTCTCCAGGTCAGGGACGAGGTCCTGCCTCAAGTGGAGGAGTTTGAGTTCTTATTCACAAGTGAGGTAAAGAAGCATTTGGAGGTACTCAAGTATGTTGGTGCTGCATCTGCAGAGATGCAGGCGGTGTACGGGTCTGTCATGGTGAAGGGAGAGCTGAGCTGAACCCTCAGCTATGGTCATGAGCTTTGGGCAGTGACCAAAAGAACGAGATCACAGATACAAGCGGCCAAAATGAGTTTTCTCCACAGAGTGGCTGGGCTCTCCCTTAGAGATAGGGTGAGAAGCTCGGTCATCCGGGAGGGACTCAGAGTAGACCCGCTGCTTCTCTACATCGAGAGGAGCCAGTTGAGGTGGCTCGGGCATCTAGTTGGGATGCCTCCTGCACGCCTCCCTGGTGAAGTTTTCCGGGCACGTCCAACTGGAAGGAGACATGCTGGAGGGACAACGTCTCTCACCTGGCCAGGGAACGCCTTGGGATTACCTCGGAGGAGCTGGCCTAAGTAGCTGTGGAGCGGGAAGTCTGGGCCTCTCGACTAAGGCTGCTGCCCCCGCAACCCGACCCCGGAGAAGTGAAGTGGATGGATGGATGGATGGATGGATGGATGGATGGATGGGTGGGTGGGCTTTCCAGCTGAGCTCCTCTCCCATCACTGCAGATGCTCCTCCATTCCATCAGTCGACCTCCTGCTCCCCCCTCCTTCCTTTGCTCATTAGCAAAACCCAGAGATCATTAAACTCCTTCTTGAACCGCCACCTTACCATAGTGGTAGAGTTTGTGTGCCCCAGTGGTAGCTATGTTGACCAGGGGCATTTAGCCCCCTGGCAGGGTCTCCCAGAGGTGAAAAATGAGAAAATGCACGGTTCAACATCCTTACTGATCTTAAAACAGAGGGGTCACCCTGCAGCCAGACCTGGGGTTGGAGCCAGTGTGCTGGTTACTGGTGGCCGGGCTCAGACCAAACCGTGGGCTCATCCACCTGTGGACCCACCTTTATGAGGAACATGGAGGGTCAGGTACAATGTGGATGGTGTGACAGACCAAGGCCGAGATCTACACATTACACTCAGAAACCTTGAATATTTATTTCATAAGACTAGAAGCCAACCCCAAAACAGAGTCCAGAGGGCCGCCACAGTCCAGGACACTGGAACAGGAACACCAGTCTAATCAATAAAAGCTAGGGTAAAGGTCTACCTAGCATTTCATATGCTTGCTTTGTCACTTAGCAGTGGCAGCCATCTTGGATCAGGTTGACTTCAGGGTTAATTATTTTTAGATGATTATCCAGTAATTTCCTCTCATTTATTGACTTTTAGTTTCAGGCCTTTTGACATAGCAAGAAACTTACAGCAAACACATAATCTCTGAATGAAGAAATATACACCCCTAACCCTTTAAGTACACAGCATAGCATCTAACTCTCCCAGGCTCTAAATCATGTCTCCTCTCAGAGGCGGTTTTACCATTAGGCATAGGTAGGCGGCCGCCTGGGGCCCCCTAGTGGTGGGGGGCCTCCTAGCCCTGACCGTCGGCACCCCTCTGTTAATGCCACAATATTCTTATTACCAACCTGTGGCCGCAGACGGGATTGGACATGCGCACTTCTCATTAACATAATTCCTGAACCATTCAAGATATCATTAAAATTCCAAAAGTGCTGAAAAGATTAAAAATGGGGCTTTTCGTGCATATACAAACATTACGGTAGCCACCGGGATTCCCTGTCTTGAGTGCACCGAATCACAACACAGATTCAGAGACGTGCTGAGTTTGTCATCCAAAATGCTCCGTTTTATAACTTCTGAACGGCTGATCAGATTCAAATAATTCCAACGGTTCCTAAAAGTACATAAAAGCAGCTTTCCAACGATCTATAGCATGAAGCAATCAGAGTTATGCAAAATATCGCTACGAGGGGAAATCCTGCTGTACAGCCTGATTGAAACGGAGCACAGCGCGGTGGAAGCGGATATCGGAACGGGGAAGCTAATCAGCATAAAAACCAGCATGAAATTATGGAAATGCCTCAAAGAAAATCAACACGATCTATTAGGTGTCCCAGAAGGCTTATATCTGAAGTCAGTGACCACGAAGAAGGACAGATCTCCAGTGAACCAGGATATGAATGTTTGTTCAGTCTTTATTTTTTATTTTAACAACCCTCAACTATTTGCTAATTGTAAGATTCAGCTTCATTCCAGCATTATTTATCTTTTTACAATAAATAATTATTTTTGCTAAAACAAAAGTTTCTGGTATAGCAGTGCATGGTGTGCCAGAGAAGCACCCCATGGCAGTGTGAGGTGTGACTCTGCCTGCAGCTGGAGAGAAACTGCTTCAAGGCCTACCACATCAAATAAAAACATCTGAAAGTTAACAATACTAAATGGTCTTAAAAACAGCTAAAAAAAGATACCAAGGTTCAAACTTTTTAAAGAATAGATGCATTTCAGTTCAAAGTTTAAATTGTTTGCCCAGTAATTTTGAAGTTCCTGTTCAGTAAGAAATGTAAAAAATTCAAATCCGTTTTTTGCTTTTTTTCACTTTGAAGCTGATTTTTTAAAGGCTTTAATAGAAATAAATTCTAAATACAAACCATACACTAAAAGCTGAGGTTGTTCTCAAAAAGGAGAGAGTTACACACACTTTGTACTTTTTATTATAATTTTACAGCCATAAGATTAAAAACATACCAGGCGGCCCTGTTATAATTATGGTCATAAGAGGGTTATTAAGACAGCGATGCACAAACAGGAAGTGATTGGTAGTCATTCCACTCCAATCCAGTTGGTGGCGGTAATGCACCAAATTGTTGTTTGCCAAGTGCCATGAGACCACAAATAAGAAGAATAAGAGAGGTGGGAGCATTCGTAACTAACTCAAAGCAATAGTAAAACATGAAACATGAAATGGAGTTATCCTAGTGGCTCCAATAAGAGAAAGAAGCAGCTTGCTTCATAAAAGCTTTTATTTTCACTTCTGAAAGTGACGTCGTTTCTCGATGTAAACATCAAAAGGAGGCAGAAAGGAAAGACAATGGAAAATGTTGAAAGGGAGGAAAACATAGACCAAAATGGAAAATAGAAATAAAATAACAAAGGCAAAAGCACAGGAGCACTGACAGGAAGAAGAAAGCACTCAAAGGGAGAGAAAAACAGGAAAAAAGAGGAGGACTAATAAAAAGTGAAAATAAATCGTGTCAGAAGAGGGTAGATTTTCGCAAATCCAGTTAAAGGTAAGATTGTCGAAAATTTTGTGTAAGGGGCCCCATGTCTGTGTTCGCCTTGGGCCCCCAAATTGCTAAATCCGCCTCTGTCTTCTCTGCAGGTGCTGGCCTTCTACAGCTTGTTTGAGCAGTGTGAACAGGCTGTGGAAAGCAGCGAGAACTGGCTGAAAGTCCAGGCACCTCCCGCGTCTGAGTCAGAACCACTCAAAGTGCAACTGGACCGATGTCGGGTGAGTGGAGCAACATGAGTCAGAACTTCATGATCCAGTGTGGTCCTGCTGGAGCCTTAGACACTACTGTTTGCTGCGTGTGAAGCCACTTGTGTCCATTCTACTTTTGTTGCTGCTTGTTTGAAGTATTTAGTCCTTTAAATGTTTGAATATTTCTGTTATTCTGTTTTTCATGCAACTTTTTACAGCTTTACGCAGTGAGTACTTTTTGCTACTCCATCTTTCGCTCTAGCATCTACACAACGAGCCTGGTTCTGTTCTGTTTAGGAACTTCAAGCACATCTCGAAGTCAATGCTTGTAGACTGAAGACCTGACTATGATGGGATCTTAGCTTGGTCTTCTTCTACCACAACCACAGAGGCATGCATGCAAAATGGCTTAGGGCATACTCAAACTGTAGGAAGGTGGCGCCCCGGCCAGAGCGAGGGGGAATCTGGTGTAGTTTAAGTGAGGTTGGCTTTGGTTGTCAAGAATGTGAAGCAGGACTGGTCTCACGGGTTTCCTGCCTGTGCTAGCATGATAAGGGTTTCCTGACCTGAATACTTTTGTTGCTATGGTAGCTCTGGGATGAATGGTCTCGGCTGGGTCTAGGTGTTTTCAGGAGCAGATTCAGACCACAGTGGCCTTGCATCTAGACTATGGCACCATCATACCGAGTCATGATGGAAAAGGGGTTAGGGACATATTTTCAGATTATCTGTGTGAGTTTGTTCAGATCCAAGTTCTAGATGAACTTCTATTTGATAGTATTCCACTTCTGACAAAAGTTCATAGTTCCTTGTCTTCTAATGAATTCAGACTAGTACAAAAATACTCTCTCTCCCACATATTTCTGTCCCACTGAGAGAGCTACACCCGCACAGCAGTACATTAGGATTGTGCAGACTGGTTGCTTTTTGTTGTAGAAAACTGGGAGAAGAAGAATCCTCAATATCGAGTGTGTCTTTCTGTAATTCCAGTCTGTAATTTTCAGAAAATTGGAACTTTTTAAAATAGAACACCTAAACATGATCACAGTATGCCTGAGCACATGTTCACATTGAGGTAATATTTCAATTCAATTCAGTTTATTTCTAAAGCACCAAATAAGGACCAGAGTCGTCTCAAGGACCTTCACACAGTAAACAATACAAGTCAGGTCATTAAGCCAATCAGTAAAAGGTTTCCTATATAAGGAATCCAGCAGGTTACATCAAGTCACTGACTAGTGTCAGAGTCTTTACAGCAACCCTCATACTAAGCAAGCATGCAGTGACAGTGGAGAGGAAAACTCCCTTTTAACAGGAAGAAACCTCCAGAGGATCCTGGCTCAGTATACACACACACACACACACACACACACACACACACACACACACACACACACACACACACACACACACACACACACACACACTTTGGCATAAAGTTTAGACATATAGTTATACACCTACAGTATATATACCCATGTATAGAGCTCCGGGAGTTGATGTCACTTCTCCCGGCATGCAACAGTTCAAATCGAAACGGCGCCATATTGGCATGCAGAAGCCGGCAGCTGGACTATTTGTTATTGTCAGAAAACTCAATCAAACGGGAAATATGGTAGATTCCTGTTGTGCCCCAGGATGCAGAACAGACACGGACGACATAAGGAATGAGCCTTCTACAGGATTCCCCAAGATCCGGAGCGCCGCAAACGTTGGATCATTGTAATAAAACGCGCTAGTGACCGGGCGAAAATGAAGCTGTGGGATCCCGAGAGTAAAGGTTTTCGCTTATGCAGCGACCGCTTCATATCAGGTACTTAAACCAACGTTTCCTCAACTGTGTATGGTATTTATTTTAAATGCTTTTATTATGATTCTTAGTGGGCTTCCTAAACTTATTTTGGCGTGGCTTTTTCTGTCTTATTACTCATAGCAGCAAGTAAACATCACGTAAAACGTTGCCTCGTGAGTTCTGCGTGCTGCCGTTTCTGTGTTTTATGATCACAGCAATTAACCGGCTAACTGTATTTAATTTTTAAGCAATGGTTGATCAATTGTCAGATCACACATAAAAAGCACTTTGGATTGCTATTATCTGTGTCACCGAGACTACTCACGTGTAAATCTGTTATTTGTCCGTCCATCCATCCATTTTCATCTGCGTATCCGGAGTCGGGTTGCGGGGGCAGTAGCGTGACTTCCCTGTCCCCAGCCGCCGGAGCCAGCTCCTCCGGGTAAATCCCAAGGGGTTCCCCGGTCAGGTCCGGTGTTGTGCCGGTAAGAAGCCCGCTCTGACAGCTTCTGGCGTCGGAGCGGGCAGTAGAGTCAAGAGTCCCAGACCTTCTCCCCAGCTCCTCCGGCCGGGGGAATCCCAAGGGGTTCCCCCGGCCAGGTCCGGTGTTGTGCCGGTAAGAAGTCTGCTCCGACAGCTTCTGGCGTTTTTAAAAAGTATCCCAGGGGCACGGTAAGGGTCGGAGATGTTCAGTCTATTTGATTTCTGACTATATAAAACGATTTCTTCTGTTTTAAAGCGTGAAGTAAACTCCGACGAAGTAAAATCCAAGCGGATCCCATTCATGTTCATGGTTACATCCGTGTTTGTTTACCTTTTTTGCATGCCAAAATGGCGTCCACTAACTGAGAGTCACGTGGGGTCCGGAGCTCTATACTTATACACCTACAGTATATATACCCATGTATACTTATACCCCAACAGTATATATACCCATGTATACTTACACACCTACAGTATATATACCCATGTATACTTATACACCTACAGTATACAGTATATACGTATATATCCTGCTTCCCATAGATCCATTTTGTTCTGGCAGAGTGAAGTTTGAGTCATGAGCACTTCATGAAGCTTTTCCTTGGATATTCATCCATAGAACCACAGACGGTGTGAAGGGTGACCAGTAGAGCTGATTTATGTAAAACATTATGAAAAATGGAGACTCAAAGATTTTTCCTGATAGTAACGATGCAGCCTTCATTTGAATCCTAGTCAGCCATGCCTCTGCTCACAGCCTCGCCTCATTCTATCACGGATCGTAGCTTTCCCTGATAAAAGTCTGGAGGGGTTTTCTTTGGCTTGTGGAACTTGTTTTTCCTTAAAGCTACTGAGGTCCTTTCAACCATGGAGCATACATCTTCTTTCTTTTAGAAATTAGTCAGACTTGAGCACAGATTAGAAAAGACTTCCTCCATCTGTAATACAGATGAAACATTTCTGGCTGTACGGGTAGAACTCTTATGTCAGGAACACTTCGGTACTGACGCCTCACACTCCGCCATCCTTCACGTTCAGCCCCCAGACTCGCTGAACCTTTTCACAGCATGGTCCTTTCTAGATCCAGAGTTTTAAGAGCCCACTCTGTAAATAAATTATTAGGTTTATGGTTTTGCATGCCATGTTTTAGACTAACTAATACTGAAGGACAGGGGTCTTTGTGACTTTCATGTAGTGGTCCAGAAGCTGAACCAGCGGATTCACCAGCATCCACTTTTATTAAATCTAGTATGATGTTGTCATTATGCAGCTGTAACTCTCCCTGCGTGGTTCACCCAAGTTCATCTCACTGTCCTAGCTTCATAGTGCTGTCCTGTCCTTAGATGTATGGTTGATGTCTCACCTGTTGTAGAAACAGTTCAGGGCCAGACCAGTACGGCGTTGGCATGGTAGCAGTAGTCCATGTCGTGGCAGGACTAATCTCTGTTTTACCAAACTGAGGCCATTAAAAGAGCCATCAAGCCCAGTGGAGTCATTAGTGCTTCAGAAACCTGCTAAAGACCAGGGGTCTCATTTATCAAACATTGCGTGGAATCCTTACTAAAACCGTACTTAAGCTCAGTAAAAAAAAAGTACTTAGCCAAGTAGGTTTGTGATCTATCAAACATGGAGTACGCACAGCTGCACGCAATCTCCGCTTCATAAATCAGAAACTATCTAGAATGTTTCTCAGCTGCATTTTAGTCACATCCCGCCCTCACCACGCCCACTTACTGCCATAAATAGTCAATGCAAAGTGCCTTGTGGATCTCATGCATATACATAAGCCGGCTGTTGCGGCGCTCTGCCAATGACATGGCGACCGTAGGTCAAGGCAAATCAAGGAAGCGCAATTTTACAGCAGAAATTGAGGTACTTGTGGGTGAGGTGGAGAAATGAAAGGAAGTGCTTTTGCAACACAGAGAAAATCCACGGAGTGGCACAGCGTCTGAAGCCGTTAATGCTGTGAGTTCTTCAGAGAGATCTGTGGCGGATATAAAAAAAATGGTTCAATTGGGATTCGATCCCCAGACTCCTGGGTGAAAATCACGCGTGCTAACCAGTCACCCAAACAGAGATCTCCCTTGTCCAAGTAGCCAGGGAGCATGATCAATTGGGTCACAGTGACAGGACACACACACTGTCACAGACACATGACATTCTGTCTCCATCTGTCCCCCTGCTGATATTCTGCATTCCGTATTCAGGCTGTGTGTGTATGTGCGCACATGTGTGTGTACGCGCACGTGTGTGTGGAGGTCTTGTTCTGTGTGAAAACGAAGCAGTACAAGTGATAATGCTGCAGGATTTCATAATTGTATCCTTCTCAGCAGCAGCACTGCAGTTGCTCTCCATGTCCAAAATAAACCAGGTCCTTAGGCAACTTAAAGTTGCACACATTTTTTCGCTAAGTTTTCTTTCATAAATCCCAAAGTTTGCGTGGAAAGTTGCTTACGCAGTTTTCAGACCCCGTTTTGTGCGTAAGCAAGCTTGATAAATGAGGCCCAGATGTATAACTGTAGGTTGTCCACATGTGGTCACAGCTTTGAGTTGAGAAGAAGGAGGACTTCTGTCCCTACAGGATGGACGTCCAACTCCACTAATGAAGCTGACCATGGTGTTTCTTTACCCCAACAGGAGGAGGTGGCGCACCTGTCCGCCCTGCAGCCTCAGGTGGACCTCCTTGAGCAACGGCTGCAGGAGCTGAAGGAAGAGAAAGAAGGAGAGGAGGACCCTTCAGCCTTCCTCGATGCTGACGTCACAGCCTTGAAAGAACATTACAGCCGGGTCCTGGAGGACCTTCGAGCCCGAGAGAGGCAGCTCCAGCTGGGTGAGGAGGACCTTGAACATCCTTTAACCAGATACTGGAACTGGGGGGTGTTTGGGGTTTTTTCACATAATCTTTGAACTTTTTTGATATTTTTTAAAAGAAAATTTCTTGTTTTGGTTAAAAATTTGATACCTTCAAATTTTCTTAAACGCTTGAAACTTTTTACATTTCTTATGCTTTCCTCTTCATTTTTTCTTAATAGTTTCTCATTTCAGACGGTGGCGCAGGAGCTAAGCGCTCGCCCCTTAATCAGAAGGTTGCAGGTTCGAGCCCCACTCAGTCTGTCGCTGTCGTTGTGTCCTTGTGAACCCCCCACCCCCACCCACCCGCTGCTGGTGGTCAGAGGGACCGGTGGCACCTGTGCTCAGCAGCCTCGCTTCTGTCAGGGCGCCCCAGGGCAGCTGTGGCTACATTGTAGCTCATCCTCACCAGCTTGTGAATGTGTGAATGACTGATTGTGTTGTAAAGCACCTTGGGGGGTTCCAGGACTCTAGAAGGCGCTATATGAAATACAGGCCATTTACTTATTGCATTTGAACGTTTTAAAGCTTTTTATTACTACTTTGATTTTATAAAATTGTTCACTTTAACATAGAGGACGGAGTAGAAGGAATTTTATCTAGAAGGTTTTTCTAAGTGGGCCAGATGTCTCTGTCACGATGGTCGACTCTGATCAGGGGTTTCAATGAAACGATGACTGAGTGAAGAGCCGGTGCGGCGTCTTCCATATATAGGCTTGGGGGTGACTGGGAGAATGCCGGGAGTTCCCGCGAGGAGCATGCTGGGAAATGTAGTCCAAGATGGAGGCCGGTTAGCTGGGAGAGGCCGGTTTGGGGGCTTGGGTTCTGACAGGACCCCCCGGTCCAGGGACGGCTCCAGAAGTCCCAGGGCGACCTCGGCGGTCCCAGAAGTCAGAGACAAGGGCAGGGTCCAAGATGGAGCGGGCCGGCTCCCAGGAGCGTTCCTCAGGGCCGTAGTCTGCCCAATCGACCAGATACTGCCAGCCCCGTCCCCTGCGGCGAGCGTCCAGGATGCGCCGGACGGTGTAGATGGGCTCACCGTCGAGGAAGCTGGCAGGTGGAGGCGCCGGAGCCGGAGGCGGAAGGAGGGAGGATTCCACGTAGGGCTTGAGCCGGGAGATATGGAAGGTGGGATGGATGCGGAGACTCGCAGGCAGCCGCAGCCGGTACGTGACCGGGTTGATGACCCTTTGCACGGGGTAAGGCCCAAGGAACCGGGGAGCGAGCTTCCTGGACCCGGCACGGACACGGAGGTCTGCCGTGGACACCCAGACCTTATCCCCTGGAGCATATGAGGGACCAGGACGGTGTCGGCGGAGGTGTTGGTGAGAGTAACGGGCGTTAGCTCGGGTTATGGAGGCCCGTGCCTTTATCCAGGCGTTCCTGCAGCGCCTCACCAGGGATTGAGCGGCCGGCACCGCAACTTCGGGTTCCTGGTGGGCAAAGACCGGGGGCTGGTAGCCATAGCAGACTTCGAACGGGGACATCAGAGTGGCTGAGGAGGTGTGGAGATTGTGGGATAACTCAGCCCAGAGGAGGTACTTAGGCCACTGCGAGGGTTGGGCCGAGACAAAGCAGCGGACGTACCGACCCAGTTGTTGGTTTGCCCGCTCCGTTTGGCCGTTGGTCTGCGGGTGATAGCCCGAAGATAGGCTGACTGATGCTCCCAACAGATGACAAAAAGCCCTCCAGAACCGTGCCGTGAACTGGGGACCACGATCCGAGACCACGTCGACAGGAAATCCATGGAGACGCACCACATTCTCCAGGAACAACTCAGCTGTGCGTCGGGCCGAGGGGAGGCCCGGAAGGGCGATGAAGTGAACAGCCTTAGAAAACCGGTCAGTGAGCGTCATGATGGTATTAAGGTCGTTGACTGGTGGGAGCCCTGTGACGAAGTCCAACCCCACATGGGACCAGGAGCGGCTGGGTACCGGAAGAGGTCTGAGGGTACCAACCGAGGCCTGGTTGGATGTCTTGGAGCGGGCGCAGACGTCACAGGCACTCGTATAGTCCTTTACATCTCTCTCCATACGTGGCCACCAGAGAGCTCGTTTGAGGAACCTAAGAGTCCGTGTGAAGCCCGCGTGGCCAGACAGGCGTGATGAGTGGGCCCAGGACAATGCCTCGCTGCGACAGGCCGTGGGGACGTAGAGCCGACCCGCGGGGGTCTCTGGAGGTGCTGGATCGTCTCGGAGGGCGTTTTGGATAGCCTCCTCCAGTGGCCACCTCAGGTGGGCCAAGAAACGGTGCTCGGGGAGGATAGGTGCCGGCTCGGACGTGGGCGTTGGATGTGTGAACTGGCGGGAAAGGGCGTCCGCCTTCTGGTTCTTTGTCCCTGGGCGGTAGGCGAGATGGAATTCATAGGGCTCAAAGAAGAGGGCCCAGCGGGCCTGGCGAGGATTGAGCTGCTTGGCTGATCTGATGTGGGTCAGGTTCTGGTGGTCCGTCCAGATGGTGAACGGCTGAGTGGTGCCCAGTAGCCACTGTCTCCATTCCTCCAATGCCCACTTTATGGCCAGCAGCTCGCGATCCCCTACGCCGTACTTCTGCTGGGTGGTGGAAAACTTCCTGGAGAAGTAGGCGCAGGGATGAAGCCTGTCGTCGGGCCCGGCTTGGGACAAGATGGCACCGGCGCCAACATCCGAGGCGTCGACCTCGACCACAAAGGGGACTGCATGATCCGGATGGCGGAGGATAGGAGCCGACGTGAAACGGGCGACTAGGTGTTGGAAGGCCCGAACGGCGTCTGGAGTCAGCCGGAATGGTTGGCTCGGAGGGCTTGGTCGGGTGAGAGAAGTGAGAGGTGCCACAATGGTGCTAAAGTCCTTAATAAAACGGTGGTAAAAGTTGCAGAAACCCAGAAAACTCTGCAGTTGTTTCAGGCTCGTCGGAAGGGGCCAGTCTCTCACCGCCTGGACTTTCTGAGGGTCCATGGTTAGTCCTTTATCTGAAATCATGTAGCCCAGGAATGATACGGACCGCTGGTGGAAGGAGCACTTCTCGGGCTTACAGAACAGGTTATTGTCCAGGAGCCGGGTTAGAACAGCGCGAACATGGTGGAGGTGTTCGGCCTCGGACTTGGAGTAGATCAGGATGTCATCCAGGTAGGCAAACACCCACCGTCCCAACATGTCGCGGAGGACATCGTTTATGAGGCGTTGAAAAACGGCGGGGCTATTGCACAGCCCGAAGGGCATGACCTGGTACTCCCAGTGACCGGTGGGTGTGATGAAAGCGGTCTTCCACTCATCTCCAGCTTTAATACGGACCAGATTGTAGGCGCTCCGGAGGTCCAGCTTGGTGAAGATCCGCGCCTGGGAGATGGCGTCCAGGGCAGATGTGAGGAGCGGCAGAGGATGATGGTCTTTGACTGTGATTTTGTTCAGACCTCGGTAATCGATACAGGGGCGGAGATCACCCTCCTTTTTCCTGACAAAGAAGAAGCCTGCGGCACCCGGGGAGGAGGAAGGTCGAATGAAACCCTGCTGGAGGGCCTGGTCAATATATTCCTCCATGGCTCTGGACTCGGCGGGAGAGAGAGAAAAAAGGCGGCCCCGGGGTGGACTGGTTCCTGGTTGCAGCTTAATTTCCATGTCGTACGGGCTGTGAGGCGGCAGTGTGGTGGCGCGCCGCTTGTCGAACACCGCAGCCAGGTCCCGGTAGGGCAGTGGCAGATTGGGCGGTGTTTGGCCAGTGTCACCGTCCGGGCGGTCTGGCATGGATGTAGGAGGAGAGAGGTGGGCCTGGCACTGGGTCCCCCATTCCAAAATGCGGCCCTGGGACCAGGAAATCCGGGGGTCGTGGAGACGGAGCCAGGGAAATCCCAGGATTAGAGGAGAGGAGGGAGCACATATGATCAGGAACTGGAGGGTCTCTCGGTGGCCTTGGACAATCATCTGGAGTGGCTGGGTTCCGTTTTGGATCGGATAGGGTTGGAGGGGCCTACCGTCCACCGAGGTCACAGGCACAACTCTCTCCAAGGGGGTCATGGGGATCCGTAGGCACTTAGCCAGATCCATGTCCATAAAATTGTCACCGGCCCCCGAGTCCAACAGCGCGTGCATCTGAAGTGAGGTCTCACCATGAAGGAGGGTAACATGAAGAAGGAGTCGATTTGAAGAGGCGGGGGCTGAAGGTGACCAAGGCTGAGCGACCCCGATACTCAGTGGGTTCCTTCGTTTCCCAAACGTAATGGACAGTTCAGGCGTCTGTGGTGGGAGGAGCCACAATAGGCACAGAGACCCTCGCGCCACCGTCGCTGTCTCTCCTCTGGAGGAAGGTGGCCTGATTGCATGGGCTCATCAGTAGAAGCGGGTCCGGGAGCAGGCGTGGGGGAACGAGGAAGAGGGCCAGGTGCCCTGGATGGGCGAGTGAAGGGCTTGGGCCGAACCAGAACCCGCTGATCCATGCGCAGCGCCAAATCGACCACTTCATCCAGGGTCTGGGGCAGTTCCTTTCCCGCCATCTCATCACGGATGTAGGTCGCCAGTCCCTCCAAGAAGACGGCTCGGAGGGCAGAGTCATCCCACCGCAGCTTGGCGGAGATGGTGCGGAACTCCGACGCATAAGCGCACACCGTGCGCTCCCGCTGGCGGAGCTTTAGGAGTTGTGTTTCTGCTCCCACTTCGCTGCTGGGTGGAACAAAAGTCTTTCTGAGGGCGGACACAAAAGCAGCATAGTCATTGCAAGCCGGTGATTTGGAATTATAAAGCGCAGCGGCCCACTCAGCCGCTCGTCCGGAGAGCAGGGAGGTGAGATGTGCCACCCGAGAGCACGCAGTGGGGATGCGCCCTGGCTCGCACTCAAACTGCATGTCGAGGGTGGCGAGTAGACCGTCTGGGCTCCCCGTCTCTCCGTTCCACCTCTCTGGGAGACTAAAGTGCAGCCCCTCTGTTGGTGGAGTGAGGGCTTGCTGCTGGAGAGCATGGAGGGCTGTGGATAATTGTAGGATGAGATCGGTCTGGGAGTTTTGTTTGG